GATCCCCGTCCGAAACCTGAGGGCAGGAGAGTCTCTGTCAGTCATCCTGTGTGAGGGAAATGAAAGTGGAAAGCAAACAAAAGGGAGAAGAGATGAGCGGCTTTCACTCACAGAAGAGGCAGTTATACCTCAGAGAAAGTGTGTCGGCAAGAACTCAAACAACAACCTAAGACCACCAATAAGATGCAACGAACCAACTACCGCCAAATATTTGATTCTGGGTCGATGTCTTAGTGAAACATCAATGTGAATGACTGACCACCACAGACTGTAACCCCGAATCTTCAACAAAACTGTATCTGCATGGATGATCGGTTTAACGTATGCATCGCATCACTCCGACTCCCTCTTGTACTTGGAGACACAAAGACTCAGAGACGAACTCCAAACGTTCACAGAACTCTGAGAAAGTTCCCGCCGCTGCAGCAACGCCCGCTGTCAACACACTCGGAGGATAATCCACGCTGACAGCTCGACTTGTAACTGTTTGACTCTGCAGACTTGCATCAGATTGCATCAACTGTGGGCGAAGGCCTTTGAGACACATTTGTGTAGATTTGGATGCGCCGCACTTTCTGTGTCGTTCCTCGCCCTGAAATATCGTTCCTGGAGCGAGAATATGCAAGTGGACAGATGATGCTTGAGTGGAGATTGGGACAGATTTATAAACATACTCTCCTCAGCGTCCCTGTTTTTTCTCCTCACACAGCATTTATCACTCCCCTGTGACCGTCCGTCTGTCTGAGGGTTAATAGACACCCACAGTGGGTCAGAGGAGCTGCCTCCATGATTAGAGATATTTGACATATGAGCTGAAGAGAGCTGATGTTTTGGGCCCTTTTCCAGCCTCCTCTCACTTTATTTCAGATGCAAATCCAGAACTGAGTGATGAAATGTCATAAAAATCAGATTATAGTTCACGATTTTTGAGATGTAGTCTTAAGAATGAGTTTTATCGTAGTTTTTAAAGTCTTGGTGGGTTTGTCCCCTTTACATCCCTGACTGTCTGTTACAGCTACGAACCACCAAGGTCAGAACATGGAAATCCCCTTCAGAGAAGTGCCCCCCTTTCAGACTTCACAGATGTGTTTTCTGTTTGCGAGCTGGAGCGTTTTTCTGATGTCTGCTGGGGCAGCTCGGCCCCGTTTCTCACAACCGCTGGCTAAATAGCAGAGATGATCCGGTATCTTCGCTGACTCATTCGAGCGAGACCTCTAACTGGACCCCTTTTAATCTGCAGCCACCCACGCGCTGAAAGCCCTGACTCTGAACTCCCCCTTCACTCGTCTGTGTTTCTGTTTTCTTTGCATAGAAACGACAGGCTGTTGCTCTTTGTCTCCTCGTCTCTCTTCACAATAAGAGTGGGCTCACTCTGTTTACCACTAAATAAACAGACTACTATGGAGATCCGACGAGTACACTCATCAATAAGTATGAGTGTGGCTGTAGAGGGGGCGTAAAAGGGTCCTGGAGAGTTTAATTATCATATTCAGTCCAAATTTGGCCGAAAACAAACATCCGTTAAAGTTTCAGTCAGGAGTTTTTTAACTTTTCTGAAATTTACTTTAAAGGTGGGGTACGCAAGATTTTGTTAAAGAAGCATCTGTTTTTGGGGTGTGTTTACAAAAAAGCTTTTAATATCAGGAATATAATATACGATAATATATTGATATCTCTGTGTTCTCTTATGTCTGTGTCGTCAACATTTCAACATTTTTTGAGCGGTCCGCTCTTTCTGACTGTAAACAAAGCCGTTCTCCACCTACCCAGCCTGATTGGATGCGAGGCGGATCCTGCTCCCTGTTGTGAGGCACGCTCCACATCCTCGAGTAACGTTTACGACCCCAAACAAAGTTAGTGTGCTACAATATCGGACAGTAGAAACCAACCAGAAAGTTCGGAAAATTGTCTGAATCCTCCTTTGGCCACGACTGCCGACACAAGCAAGAAAACAAAGTAAATACCGGAGTCTCTGGAGGAATAACGGGCGCTTAAAACGGAGGTAGACCGGACAAGAGCTAAAAAGCCGGGTCAACATAAACGATGGGGGACGCTTGGGGATCTTGGTGACCCTGTAACCTTTCTGCTGGACAGGTAAACCGCTTTAACAAAGTAAGACAAGTGTCTGTAACAGAAGTGTTTCTTGACAAACGGACCTGCTGTAGCGTGTTGTAGCGCCATCGCTAAACTGTCCTCCCTCGGGTCCTGGACTATGTCACTTTATCCTCGTTGTAGAAGTCCTGCAAACATTATGTTTGCTGGTAGTCTGTTGGCATCTACAGTAGCACCAATGCTTTTGACTTTCACCTTGACTGGGCCCCATTTGTAATGATCTGAAGTATTTATCTGCATTATATCTGAATTTAATTGGAACGATACGAGCGAGCAGGAGCGTCTGTTTGTGGGCGGGGCTTGAGGGGAGAGGAGGAGCTGAGGGGAAAACTGGTTGTGAGGGGTAGAGTTTACATTCAGGATTTCTCCTAAAAACTGGAACTTCCTCAGATCCTGACTACAACACCTTTAATGTCTTTTCATGATATGCAAAATAAATCAAGTCAAACAGCTGTTAGATTGACCTGTTTTATTTCAGGACTTTTAAACTGGTGTGAGGGAGAAGGTGTCGGCCAAGATACGCAAATCTGCTTTGGAGGCGCCAAAATTCACGCAAACTGAAAACTCCTCATTGAAGCTTTAATTAAATAACCTTGTTAGTATTGACAGTTTATCACCTTTGTTTCAGTCATGTGGTTTCTACTCTTTAATGGTCTCTATAAGGTGCACTGGCATTACTTTGTTCGAGTCACGTGAGGACAGGTAATTTCTGGGCATTATAAAGTAAAACCACTCAAAAAGAGCTTTAACACATGACCTCACCAACCAGCTGTGTTGTGTAGTCTTAACATGGACATGAACACAAACCCCGACTCTTCTAATGTGACAGCCCCTCACTCGAAACCTTATTTGTACCAAAACAGACCCCTATCATCCCCCCTGACTGACACCTGTGAGTCAAAGTGAACACCTGCATACCTTTGCCATGTCAGGTCATGAAGACTTCCACCTACTCTAAACAGATTACTGCAGGAAGGACTTATTGCTTTTGCAACAACCCCTACTAAGGTCAAAGATCAGAGTGACAAACTCTAATTCCAGCATTCCAGTCCGTCATTTGACTGAGGAGGAGTCTCTGATAATGACTGACCGGTTTCAACACGACAATAAAGACAATAGTCAGTCCTCAGGGTGGGATCTGATGTAATTTTATACTTTGACATCCTCAGTGGTGGTTAAAAAAACGTTTTAAAACCTTGCTATCCTTGCTATGCCAGCCAAAAGATGACCTCGACTAAGAAAACATTTGTCAGACGTCCAACAACCTTGGTCGGAATGTGGTTTGACAGCAGCACTGGTCAGCCGGGTGAGGACGTCTTATCGCTGATGCTGCCTCTCAAACAGCATCCCTCATGGCTCTTATCTCGCCGAGCTGTCAAAGACAAGGTCTTAACACGTCTTTATCAGGCCTCCCTGCTACCACACTGGCTCCTACAGCGAGACTGCTGGATGTTCAAGCCGGTTTGTTGTCTGCAGATTCCATTCGATACCGCCGCACGTAGCTCTTGAGTCCAGACACGGCGGCAGATGAGTCAGTGATGGCGACATAACCAGGAAACGTCTTGAACTTCGCCATGCTTTTTTATCTCAGCAGTCTAACTGGGTGAAATGTGGCGTTTGTGGTATGAACCAAAGTTGTTTGTTGTCATCAGTTTCATTCTGAGATAATCTATGATCAGTTATGCAGGAGCAGAGGTCTCAGGGTGACCTCTTTATGCCGATGATGTGGGTCTGTTCGTTGTTTCACCACTTTTCTACTTTGATGAAACTCATGAGATCCAATCTTGAGTTGCCATTGGTCAACACCAACAGTTTCATCTTTGACCTCCAGGCAGTGATCTCGTCCAACTAAAACTGGACTGAAATTTCTGGGCCAGGGTGGGAAATAAAACCTCTACAGAAAAAGACGAAGACCTCTGATTCTACCTCCAAGACATTTGCCTTATTTGTTGTTATCAACTTTTGACTCTCCGTCTAACCTTTGAGTCTAAGTGGGACTGTTTCTAGACGTCTTTTCCAACACAGAAGTCTTATGACTGTACAAACTCTGAGATGATTACAGCATTTCAAATGTACGGCTCTATCTCCGAGCTCCAAGGATGACTCTCCAGTGGCTGAGCATTTCAAGGTGAAACGACTGTGTCATCTGGTAAAACTCAGACATATTCAGATTTTACTGAAAGTCCTTCACCTCTTAAAGGAGACAGTTTTCAGATGTTTGTGGTTTTATCCCTTTTTCTCCCGGATGCCTCTGTTTGGCGAGGTTTGGACCCAACTGGACGACCCTGGAAAGATCCACCACTCAGGGGTGAAACTTTGAGGGTGCCTTGGCGAGCACCAAAATCCCCAAAGAATCACAATTATACATTTAAGATGAAAACAATCTGATTTTTTTAAGCAATAAGCAGCTGGGTCAAACCTCTGATAGAAGAATTTTTGATATGTAGTTCAAAGATGCTTCAGATAGTGTCAGCCTTCATTTGTTGTGATGCAGAGATAACATGTTGTCCTACTTCTGACAGAAAGTTTTGGCATCTCCTCCATCAGGTCAAGGCCACACAAGTTTCATGGGGAGGGAAAGTGAGAGAAACCACACCAGGAGGAGCAAAGGGGGAGGAGGAGGAGGAGGAGGAGGAGGAGGAGGAGGAGGAGGACTTAGCTGGACTGTGTTAATTTGTATTTGGAGTTGTGATGTCTGAGGAGGGGGCCGGATTAGAAAAGCGGTGGTCCGTAGAGAGAGTGGAGGAGTCAGATTTCAGCCTATACGAGGGCCCCTGCAGCCGAGACTCACTGAAGCTGCCTTTGTTTGACCGGGAACCAAAAGAGAGAGAGAGAGGAGGAGGAGGAGGAGGAGAGTGAGAGGCTTTTAGTTTGGTGTCAGTGAAAGAGGGAGGCAGAGCGGGCTCCATCTCTCTCTCTCTCTCTTATGAAGTCTCTCACACATGAACGGGACAAGTTTAGTTTGGATCTAAGCTCACCGTCACTGAAGATGACTTCACGGTAAATGAAAGCCTCTCTGTTTTCTCTAAAGAAGACTCTTGAAGTCAACTTTTACTCACTTTTCCTCCTCTTTTCTTCTGTTTTCATGCAGCATTCCTCCCTGGTTCTTTGGATTATTTCTCCTCGTCCTCCAGTCCTGCCTCCACCACCACTCCTCCGCCTATGAGCTGTTGGACGGTATGTGCTCCTCTCCTCTCTTCTCTGTTTATTCCAGATTAAGCTTTTGTATCTTGAGTGAACATGACCTGTCATCAGCTGGATGTGAGCGGGGAAACTGTTGCGCTCCGGTCGTGGTGGAAAGTGAACTTGGTGCACTCGGACAGAGGATGACTTAACTTTGAGAAAGATGCTTCAACAGCAGATATTGGGGATTAAAGTTTGCTCTGGTAGTTTCTAGTCATTATAAAGTGAATATTTTGCATAACATAATGACTTTTTTACTTCTTTGTGGACTTTTTAGTTGGTGATTAGTTGATATTTTTGTCTGAAACCCTCATTTAGCAGGAGCAGTCTTTCCTGTGGGGTTTTAAAGTTGGATTGGACCGTGTCCAAAGTCACTGTTTATACTCCCACTACAGCGTGCAGAGTGAAATCTGATGTCCCCCTGACTCTGGAAACTTTAGGAGGTTTTCAGGAGCCTCTGCTTTTAGATGAACTCAGTGAGGAGTTACCTGCGAGCTCCTCTGATGGACGTTGGTTTCCATTAAACCCATTATACTGATGTGTTTCTCTGAACTCTTGCAGACTGTTTTCACAGCTTAAATCTGGATTTTCTCCACCATAAATGAATGAATGAATCAATCAGGGAGCTTCAACATGTTCCCAATTAGGTGGATTTTCTTTTCCACTGCTCTTGGTGGCGGCGAAACCTCACAGAAGTAGTAATCAGTAGCACAGCATGATGAAGGTAGTGAGGATAATGCAGAGCAGCTGATCTTCTAACGTGTGCTTGTCAAGGATGAAGGTCATTGTCAATTATGTCCCAGTTTCATTAGACGGGGCTGTCACGGCTTCGTCACTGCGCTGGAATCCAGATTGACATTTGCAGCTATGTGAGTGTATTTATGTGTGTATTTATGTGTGCGGATGTGTTGACCTGTGATCACCACGAGGACCTCCGTGTCACAAAAGCAGCATTGTTTGGGTCCACTGGAGTAATTACGGGGTCTCTTTTGCTAATGTGGACCCACAGACTCTGACATTTTGAATTAAACTCCACTTTGCATGTTTGTGGGTGAAAAGTGTTTGTGAAATATGATCCCATGAGACGAAGTAACGGACTCGATCATGGCTGTGAGTGAGAAGGTGGATGAAGTTCAGTTGTCTGACTAAAGCTGAACTTTTTCAACTGTGATTTCATGCTTCAGTTTCCTCTTTTGTAAATCCTGCAGATGCTCGCTGAGCCAAAGCCCCGACAGGCTTTGTTTGTGCTTTTGCCATATTCATAATCCACCAGCATGATTCACTGTTTCAAAAAAAGGAAAGAGAGAAAAGTGTGTGCAAGTGCATGCCGACTCTTTTGCCAGAGAGAGAGAGAGAGAGAGAGAGAGAGAGAGAGAGAGAGAGAGAGAGAGAGAGAGAGAGAGAGAGAGAGAGAGAGAGAGAGAGAGAGAGAGAGAGAGAGAGAGAGAGAGAGAGAGAGAGAGAGAGAGAGAGAGAGAGAGAGAGAGAGAGAGAGAGAGAGAGAGAGAGAGAGAGAGAGAGAGAGAGAGAGAGAGAGAGAGAGAGAGAGAGCACTTGGGACAAATATTTCCAGTCTGCATGCTGTAAATATTCTTAAAAACAGAGCTGTCGCCGTGGCAACATTCTCATTTCTGTGCTCCTCGTGTGTTGAACTACAGCTAATATAATCCATTTCCTTTGTGTGTGAAGAGTGCATCATCCTCTTTCAGCTGTGTGCAGCGTGTGTGCTCGTGTTTTGAGGTGGATACAACTACATCTGTGTTTAGTGAGGTCTGAAATTTGACAGATGGAGTTAGAGATGGTTTTATGTGTGAGTAACAGCAGATAAAAAAAGACAGTTACAGAAACATGAATGACAGTATTCAAAACTTTTTATTGATTAAGTGTGAATGGGATTGGACAAAACAATGAATAAAAAAATCCCTGTTCAAATCAATAGATCCCCAGCCAACACTTTTTCAATATGTAGGATTTTTTTAAGTACTTGACCAGGTCATTGTTTAACAATGAATGGGAGCAAAATGCATGAAGACATGAGGAGACCAATTATTACACCTGTGTATGAACAGATAAAAAAGGATATATTTATACTTTTTTCCAACTGAGGTGCTAAATAATGAAGTATACATGCACAGATGACTCACACTTTATATCACCATGGGTTAAATTTACCCCAAATAAGTCTGATTCTGGCAAACAGTATATTAAATTGTGTTGGGCTTACATACTATATTGTATTATATCATATCTTATTGCATCAATTTATCATATAAATGTGTCTTAAGATGTCTAATTGTAAAGTTACGATATTCTTTAATTTATGATACATTACATTATGTTATGTTAGGATACAATATGATACAATACTATATCAAATTGTATCATATTGTATCCTAACATGACATAATGTAATGTATCATAGATTAATGAATATCATAACTTTACATATAGTAACTTTACGTATCGGAACTTTACATAATGTTGCGTAACAACTGATTGTTTTAGAATATATATTATTTTACTGCATCATATTGAAGTGTAATTGTATCATATTGTATCGTATTCTACCCTAACATAACATAATGTAACATATCTTGATTTTATGTATTGTAACTTTATGCATCATAACTTTGCGCTAACTTTATATAATGTAGCTTTGTAACTGATTAACAGATTTTTTTAGCATATCTTAAAATTTACTGTATCATATTGTATATTTTTATATCCTACTGTACCTATATAATTGACATATATCATCTTATAGAGTCTTGTTTGTGTTATATCGTAACGTAACATACCACAAAGTAACATATCAACATATCTCATATTTTACCTCGTTAAATCATAATGAAACTGCATCATATCATATCTTATTGTTTCATATCTTATCAACTGATGGTAAATGTATTATATCATCTCTCATATCACAGCTTCTACACACTTCCTCACATAAACCTGCTCAGCTCTCACTTTGATGGTCTGATGTGTATAACCCTGAACCCCCGATGGAAGTATAGGGATGTAGTTTACCTCCAAACAACAACAACACACACATGCAGCAGTGCAGCTCATTGTGTCGCTCTCCATCTGGCAGACACATGCTTATTACTCAGACCTGATGGTGTTTTTGATTATAATGAAGGAACAATCTGAATCCAGGGACACAGACGCCTGTTAGAGACATGAATTCATGATAATGACTTGATGATGAAGCTGATGATGTGTGTCTTGGAGGCAGATGATAACAATGAGGCTAATGATGGTGAAGACGAGGGTCTGAAAGAGAAAGATGAAGATAGAATGATGTGGGAGTGCCAGGAGATCAGTGAAGAGCACAAACGCATGTAAGAAAACGTAAAAATCAAACAGGAAAGATCTCTGATCTTCAGACCAAAGGGCTCTGAGTTCATTTACAGGGTTATATTTCCAAAACACGGCTGATGCCAGTTTGAAAAACACTCTTTATCTCCCCTTTAAAGCCAAACGTCCATCCTGCCATCAAAGACAGGCTCATTATTCTCCTCTTTTTATCTGCTGTTTGTTTTGGGGAAGGTCAACTGAGTGTGTTTGCTCTTCTTCTTTAACTTCACCTCCCCCTCCTAAAGTCCTTGAATGTTCCCGCCATTGTGGGCTGACAAAGAAGCCCAAACTCCCGACCTTTACATCCCCTCTGGTCCCGAAACAAACCAAGAACTCAGAGAGATACTAGAGGAGATTTCACTGTATGTTTTATTTGATCTTATATACTTTATTTTTATCACTATTTTGCATATATTTCTATATAAAAAGCCAGCACATGCAGGTGAAAATTTCCTTATAACTTCATCCTGATCAACTGAGACTAAAGCAGACAGGGGCCAGTACAGGAGGAGTCACCTTTTTACAGTCTTTATGGGACACAGGTAGAAGTTTCCTCTCGTCTTTTGAAAACTAGTGCAGAAGAGTTTCCTGCAGCTTCTGTTGCAGTAACTTGACCTCCAGACTGCGCTCGGGTTCCTCTGTGCTGCCATGCAGGGGCGTGTCCAGACTTCTAGACTTGAGTGACACAGGCAGGGGTGGCCAGAGGTATCAGTGCAAATTTGGCTTCAACATTTGACAGTCGATAGCATTTCCAAACATAGACTATCGACCTTTCTTTGTTGTCTTTGTTTGATTTGCTCGAGAGTGTTCCCAGTTCAATCCTGGTGAAAGTTGGCGGGAAAAATTAGCACTCAAGTGTCGATAACAGTTCCAGAAGTGAAGAAAAGAGGTCAAAAAACACAACAGGGACTCAGATATAGAGGCCTGACTTGACTCTCAGATTTTGTATTAATCCTGAGAAAAGTAAACCCAGAGGTGACGCATGTAAGTTAAAAGTAAAGATTAGATCTCCTCTTTAGATTTGTTAATAGATTCAAAAGGATCCTGAAGTGTTGTGTAAATTTTTCTTTGGTTTTTGGACTTGAATCTTATTTAATGAGATTCTGGTTTGGCTCGGATTGATTGTAGGTCATCTGGATCGCCGCCCAGCGATGTCAGGTTTTGATTTAAAGCTCAGAGAGGGTTTCCATCCAGCAATGATTTCATGAATGAGTGATAAAAAAAAAAACAGACTTCTTATATACAGTTTTTGACATTTTCTGTTAAACTTAGTGTACTTTTATTCCACCCCACACTCAATGGGTCAATTTATATCTATATATCTTTTCTGAGGGTTGAAAAACTTCGACGATGAGCGCCAAGTAAATACCAAAAGAGGAAAATTGGAGATCAGAGTGAGTGGATGTAAACTCAGTAAAAGCTGCCAGATGTTTCTTTGACAGCACAGATGTGTGTTTGTGACTGAACAAACCTGCTGAATCAGGAGGTTTTTCAGGGTTTTATTACATGAAATCATCCGTCTCTGTCAAATTAACAAGTATTAATGCAATAATGTTTACAAATTGGATCCAAAGTGAACACGGAAATATAATCAATCTTAAACACGTCAACTCATGACACAGATGAGGTTTTGTCTCCTGGTTAGTCAGACCTTCACCTCTACAAAATAAAACACAGCCTTTGTAAGTCAGAGTTTAAACAACTTTCCGAACCTTTAACATGACAACTGACGTAGTTCGAACAGAGCCACGATGTCCACCACCAGGATTAGTGGTCAAAGCAGCTCATATGTCAAACAAACAGACTTTCATTCAGGACTATTTTGGAGCAGAGGTAGATATGAATCATTTCTACAGTTATTAATTGAGTCATGTATGAACCATGACTTCACACAAGTTTCCGAATTAACGCCGAAATCCCCCTTTTTTAATCACCATGGAGTTAAAACGCCAAGAACAGACCAAACTGTGGTTGGATCATGGTTGGTTAAATACCATAAAGACTGGGTAAAGTTTAGGCGCCGCCTCAAGAAATTACCCAAAGACAAAGTCCGATATCTCATACCAACAATCAGCATATCTGCGGGTCTTTGCTGCTGCTCTCCCTGCCTTTACTTTAGCATTCAGACACTCTCATGACTGAACTTCCTTTTTATCATCCCTCAGTTTTGCTCGAGTCAGGTCCGTCTTGTCTGAAGACTTCGACACTTAAACTTCTCCATGGTGGTGTAGATGTGCTGCACATGGCTCTGCATCCCAGACTACTTGTGTTTACTTCCACCAGCTGATGAATTAGAGCCAATATGACAGCTGTTATTAACTCCATCCAGGTCCTAATAAGTTTCTTGCGCTGTAATCGATGCAATTTGTTGCTTTTGTAATCTTTTTCCACTGTTGACTTTTACTTTTATTAAATAATCCCACCGCCTTGATGTTATTTGTTTATAAATGCTTTAAAAAGGAAGAGGACCTGATGGTTTAACCGTAGATCATGCTGACTTTACACTTCAGGGAAATCTGCTCCTCAGCGCATAACCTGCTAATAATTTAAAGACAAAACCTCAAAGCAGGAACACGTGGCGTGTCCTGAAGGGTAAACAGGAATAGCTCAATTTATTCCAAGCGAAAAAAACACCTATTTTGAGTTCAGACTCAGTGTGAGCTCAGACGGTGTTGAAGAGGTGGGTGAGTTATTTTAAAGCTGAAGACAAACACAGGATGTGTTAAGTATAGGACGGATTCTGACGCATAGTGTCAGTCTGACCTCCTTCCTCTGTGTCCTTATTTATGTGCCTCCTCTTTGAGTTAGAGGAAACAAGCCGTAAAACAATTTTAACAAAAGAAAAGTCGACGAATTTCTGAATAGTTTTACATCTTAAATTGACTATTTTATTTTAAAAAGGAAGTTTGAACGGCTGTTGTTGCTCTTCTCTTGGATAAAACGCTCATGCTAATTAAATCCTCATCTGAGCATCAGTCATCAGTGAGGAGAATCAAAGCTCGGACCATCAAAGAGCTTTTAATCCAAATGTGCTGAACACTGTTTGATGTCGACCGCTCTTTTCTGTCTTTGGCCTTGACTCAGCGTTTGATAATACTGATCAAAAAGACCAAACTTAAAATAAAAAAGCAGACTTTTCTTTCATGCTCGTTCTTTTTTTGTCTTTTGCTTCTCCTGTCTTTCCATGGTATCAAACTTTAATTTTGGTGTCAAACTTTTTAACTTTTTTAAAATTAGCACACCTCTTCTTGCTGCACATCTAAAGCTCATGATACTCTGAGATCTCGACATCTTTAATATATCTTTCAGTTTTTCATCGCCTTTATTTCGTCGTCTTAAGACCACAATGTGACGTTTCTGTGCAGCTGTTTTTGCGTTGTTCAGTTCTGATCCAGTAAGGAGGGATTTGGACTCGGGTTGTTAGTGTTTGTAAGCCTCGCCAGTCTGCACTAGCATTGCGAGCCAGTTAGGTAGAACACATATCTCGTTTAGGGTGACCATACGTCCTCTTTTACCCGGACATGTCCTCTTTTCTTGGGGTTGTCCCGCTTTGTCCGGGGGAGTTTATAAAATCCTTTAAATGTCCTGGGTTTTGTACGGAAGATTTGAGTCTGTGTCACGTGGACTTACTAAGTTAGAAGCAAGTAAAAAACACTCGACCCGACCTGCAAAGATCTCAAGATTTACTATGCGCGACTCCGCCCCTGTGAAGTCGTGTCCTCTTTTTGGGGATTCAGAATATGGTTATCCTAATGTTGTTGCGTTGCGTAGTTTTATAGTATTTTGATCTTGAAAAGGTGGGCTGTGTGGGGTATAACCACTTAATTACAGCGATATGTATATCTAGAATAGGCATATGAATGTAAGCTGGTGGTGCTAGCTCTGCTAATGTTAGCCACACCCACAAACTAATTCTACACTTTTTACACTTAGACTTTGTTTAATCTTACTTATATTTAAAATAAATAAATAAAAAGTGGTAAATTTGACTGTTTTTTCTGCTTTTTAGACTTTAGACTAGTTAGTTTGTTAGAACTTGAATTTCTGTTTTAACTCAAAATCAGATGCGATTGGACGTTCATCATTCAGACCAACTGCCCACAACCAATTTGGACATACGCGATCCATCTCCTGTGGTGACTTGATGTCCTAATGAGGAGTCTTTAATTAAACCAGCACTCAAAAAGGTTCAGATACTCTGTGGTACAACACTTTTTCTGAGCAATGACAACTTTTTGAGACAGACTCTGCAGAAGCAGCAAAAACAGCCTCGTCTATTTGAATGATTGATCCAGGTATCTGCTCACAGGTCAAAGGTTGCACCTAAATTTGCAGCAGATGTTGTGATGAGGTTCCTAACTGTACATTAATAGAGCTGAAGAGGGAACAGACTGAAAAAAAGTCCCAGACCGGGTTAAACAAAGTCGTCAAGAGGTGTGAAAGAGAAAAACGTTCTTTCTTTCATCACCCGCTGATGACTTATCCTTGAGCGAGTCGCACATGCCGAGCCGTTTAATGGCGAGAAAGCGGACTGTTGAAGGTTTGAGTGAGTGCAACTGTAAAAGTGACGCGAGATGAAAAGAAAGTCTCCCTCTGAAGAGAGTTGGAACATCACAGCACATAAACATGGTTACAGCTGCACAGGGCCACGTTGTGACCGAACCACAGAGCATCCTGTGTGCTGTGAGAAAATTCACCGAATTCAATCTGACACTTGATAGAAGTTATGAGTGTAGCTGCATTCCTGTTGGAAAGACTCGTGCAGAAGGGATTAGAGGTGCATCCAAACTTCACTTTACCATAATTCAGAGTGGCTTGAATTAGCGTGTTTACTTTCTGGGAGCGGCCTGCTTCCTGGATTTTTTTTTTTTACTTCTTTTTTTGGCACCGCAGAGGTCTGAACGCTGAAAACATGGAATATTTTAGAGTCTGGAAAGTGTCTGTCAGGGGGGAAAGATGGAGTTGAAACAGGCAGGTGTGTGTTCAGCTGTGAGGAGGATAGAGGAGGGAGGGGATGAGGAGTCATGGAGCAGCGGTGCATCTGAGTGTCCACTGAGGTCATGGGGTCCAGAGCAGCTGTGTGCGGGACCAAAACACTGATAAATGAATGACAGTGTCCCTGGTTCAACTCAAAGTCTGTATTTACCCCCAAATATCAGAGCACATGTCTGAGCCTGTGTGAGTCTCCAACTGGGATGGGGACAGATCATCTTATTTGCTCTTGTTTGATCCACTTTGGATCCTCTTCTGATCCTCTTCTGATCCACTTCTGATCCTCTTCTCATCTCATTTTCCACAAACTCACGTCGAGTTCAGAATACACTTTCTTTTTGTCTGTTACAAGTACTGTGATGGATTAGGTTTTTAGAGATTAGGCTATTTTTAACATCCTTGAGGGAAACCCTCCCAAAGGATCAATAAAGTTCAATCTAATCTAATCTGATCTAATCTAATCTAATCTAAATTAATCTAATCTGAAATAATCTGATTTTATCTAATATAATCTAGTTTAATCTAATCTGATCTAATCAAATCAAATCTGAATTAATCTAATCTCACTTAATCTAGTCTAATCTGATCTAATCTGATTTACTCTCATCAAATTTAGTTTAATCTAACCTTATTTTATTTTATCTAATCTAGTTTATTTATTCTAATCTTATCTAATCTAGTCTAATATGGTCAAATCAAATCTATTTTTTTATATCTATCTAATCTAACCTTATTTTTTATCTAATCTAATTTCTCTAATCTAATCTAGTCTTAAATAATCAAAAGCAGTCTAATCCAATCTAATCTTGTCTAAAATAATCTAATCTAATCTAATCTAATCTAATTTAATCTACAGAGTCATGAATTCATGCCATGGTTTTAACTACATCAAAGTTTGTCAGCTAATAATCATTACCCAGGCCTTATATTGTCTTGGTGTTAGTCCAGGCAGGCTGCTGAGTCTAGCTCACCCCTCTGTACTTCAGTATCATCACCTCAGATTAATCCAAGTCAGATTAGGATTCTATTCAAACTGTTTTATTCGTGCAGATTTCTTTGTAAACTAATTTAAAATTTCCACAAAATCATCTTAACGTCATAAAATGGTCGGTATAAAGTGTGATAAGTGTGAATTTGGTTTACTTCTGTATTTCATCCTCAGACCTCTTTATGTACAGCATTACAGTATAGAGAACATCTCACTCTAAACTATATTTATTACTGTGGTCCTGTGACAGCTTCAGGATTTTTCCAAGCGTTTGGATTTCAGGAATTTCTTTCCCATGCAGCCACCAGAGCAGTTATGAGTTTGGCCGCTAACATTCGACTGTTTCAAATCATCCAGACGATGTTGGAACAGGTCAGAGCCAGGACTCTGTGACAGCCAGTCTACGCCTATCTGTGAAGGGTTCAGAATAAAAAAAAGGTTTCATCGTTTAAATAAAAAAATCACAGGTTGATTTAAGGAACTCCGGATTATAATGACGCATCTGTGCCCCCCTACTTCCAAAAGGTCCACCAGGTCAAAGCTCAGCAGGGTTTCCAGCATGTTGACCCAACCTTGAACCTTTTATGGCTCTGGTTTGGTCGCCTGTCCAGCTGATGGATGACTGCTGGTCATCGGCAAACCAAATCTCAGACTTCAAAGCGACTCTGAGGTTTCAGCTCTTAACCACAGAAACCTCGACTTTTGAACTGTTGATGGACTTTTTAGAGGGTGGGCCGAGGTGTTTAATGCATCTATTCAACCTAAAAACCGGCGTTTCTTCGGCGCATTGGGAGTGATAGAGGATGACGTGCGTCTGTAGTGAGGATGTAATTGTTTCCCAGTGGGTGATGGGATTACTGGCGGTGGTGTTGATGGTGGTTTTGTGGCGCGTGTGTCCCCGTGTGTACGCACAGATGGTCTGCAGCTGCGTTAGTTCGAAGCACACTGTCAACTCAACTTCCTGAAGATCCCATCAAAAATCTCATTACTGCTCCGCTCTGAGTTTACCTGCTTCTGACACCACAGCTGGCAGACAAACATCAGCAAACATCTGTGTCTTCCCTGTTCCTCCGATTCATCTGAAAATTCACTTTCAGCTCCTCTAATCTCAGTTCTGTTGCTCCTGTATGAATAAAACTACAGAAAAATCTCAGAGTCAGTTTTGCTGGTTGGTTTGTGGTCTGCCGTCTGCAGCTATCGGCCTCTCATTAGCACTTTAGATGACTGTGTCGGTGCATGTAGAAGACTCTTTCACTCCTAAACCAAAAGTATGAGGCAGCTCTCCAAGAGAAGTGCTGAATGTGCGTTTTCTTTCACCAGATCAGACTTTAAAGCTGTAACCCAAGGCCTTCTCTGTCCCTGTATTTGGTATTTTTCTGACAATCCAATAGAAGATTCGACATCACCCACACTTCTAAAGGGTCTTTGTTTTGTGGCCTCTTTATTTAGCAGTGTTGACCTTTTAAATAATGTTTATTTAACCACCAAAAAGACAACAAATTGTGAATTCCTGCAGGAAATTAAACAGAAATTAGATTTAAACAAGCTTGGTTCATGAATCTTGCAAATATGTGCGACAAAAGAAACAAAGTTTAAGCTCTGTTAAGTGTTTCTCTCCAATTTGAAGATCAAGTGTGTTTCCTGTGGTGAGGTCATTATAACGAGCCTGAAGTTGTTGACATCCCATAATTATACTTAATCTTTGTCTGCAATAAAACCCTGATTGAACCGGTCCTAAGAGTCTCCCGCTGGGATCCTAAACGTCCGTCAGTAGAGTTTAAATGTTCATGAGAGAAATAGTTTTGGACGTGTTTCATCTCTCTGACTGAATATTTGGCATCACTGAATATGAAACACATTTACTGATCCAGATTATTCCTGAAAATGAACACTGAGAGAGCTTGCAGGTAAAAAATACATATGATGTGATAATTAGACCAGAGAATTGAGCTTAACGCTAATCTTGACGCTATCTTAAAAGATGAATTATAAAAACATTAATCCTGTTTATATGACGAAGTGTGTAAGGTACATAATCAAAATTGCTTATGATCACATTGTGCTGTAAAAATGGGTATTTTAACATGAGGCTTAATGAGGATTTCTTTGCTTTTGAAACCAGCCTCTAGTGGACATTTAAGGAAGTGCACCCCAGCATTGATTTCATTTTAAACACAGGAAGTTGAAGCTTCTCTCTTCTGAATGCGGCTGTGTCTTTAGCTTTACCCAGTGGTGGTATGTTTATGTTTATCTTTGGTAAAAATTATTTATAATTTTCTCAGTTTGATGCTGTTATTTACATCAAATGATCCTGAAACATCTGGAATTGTTGCATTTATTAGAGCCTATTTTAAGAAGTACTGTTGTGTATTTTAGTTTGTAGATCTAATGTGTGTCATGATGGTTATAGATGCCTCCTAAGATGGAGATTTTGGTTCGATAATCCCTAACCGTACCTCTTCTGGGGAGCCGCCTCGAAAATACATCAAAATCTCCACAATGGATTCCTGTTTGTAAAAACCATCGCTGAGATTTCAAGGCCTTAAACCCCCGTGTTATATTATCCTGAGCTTTTGATGAGAGCTCCTCTTCTTCTTCTGTAGTCCCTGGTTGAACAGTACTGTCATCAGTCCATCCATCATGGCGGCACCACACATCCCGTCCCGGTCTTCAGACCCTGAAAGTTTTGAAAGCCCCTTTTGAACGGAGCAGAAAGAAAAACAGATCCAGTTCCCCAAAAGGATTCAAGGTTGGGTGTTTGGACTGTTTTCAAGAGCTCATGAAGTGTTGGCCTGATGTTTTTATTACATTTTACTGGAAGTTTCTGGTTTTTATATGCGCTATATTTTTGTCAGGCTTATAGAATAACGAGGTTTGAAACTCTGACAATGACTTTGGAGGGATGGAGAGATAAATTATCTCATTTGGGACCACCCTCTCTGCATAAATGTTGAGAAATCCCCTTCAGACACCAGAGCAGAGGTCAGATCATATGTGGGCTGAACCATGATAGACACGGTGGTCCAAAAGTGGTCTGGACTAATCAGCTTAAGTGAAGTTCTGCTGTTGAGCCATTTCCATCGGACTGCACTTAAATAATCAGCTAAATTTTCTGTTTATGTAGCAGAAGAGGTGCCGGTAAGAGGTAATTTCCCTTACCTAAGAGCGGCTACTTTCCTCATGGTTTAGTGATGTGTTACCAATTAAAACTGAATGAAACTTGGCAATAAGACGGAGCACACGGCTGTGGCTCGACTGGAAAGTCTCGGTGGTTAGAAGCGTGTTTCTGGCGAGCCTAACCTGGAATTAACAGCAGTGAAACTTTAAATGCTGGTAAATTCGTCTGTGGTTTTGTCGGGGGGGGGGGGGGGGGGGGTTCTGGTCTGGGGGTCTGGTTGTTTTGTTAATCCACTTCAGCTGTTTGATTTAAAATCCTGTATCAGACACTGTTATTGTATTGTAATGGTAAAACTCCTTCTGGAGTCCACGTCTATAAGATGAGAAGCGAGCTCCTATAAATCACCTCCTGGCTCTTTTTCATTCAAAATAATGACCTTTAAATCCCTTCATCAGCAGCCTCTTACAGCTGAGTCAAACCTGGCAACACGGCCTCGAGGAAAGGAGCCTATTGAACGATATGTGGCTCCCTGAGGAGAGGAGAGACGACGGACTTACACAGACAACCCTGGACCCCTGACAGCCTTCCCAAAGGCAGCAGATGCAAAATAAACGAATGAACTCTGGCCCAATTTCTTTTCAACTTCTGCTGCACTCATAAGTAAAATCTGACAGAGTACTCGTGGCAGAGGCTTACATCTTGGCTCAGGGTTTACCCCTTTGTTATGATACTCTCCTTTTATTCTTGTGGCTCAGCTCAGAACATTAGAGCGAGGCCGGGAGAGCTGATGAACAACAGAGACGACAGCGCTGAGAGTCGTGGTTCTCGAATAAGTTGTGGTCACCGAGACAGAAACCTCAGACATCTCTTTAAGATTCACGGAGGACACTGACGAAGGATCTCTAATTCAGACGGACTTGTTGCCTTTACTTTGCGTTAAATTGTCAAAACATGTACTCTAGTATTTAACTCTTCATCCCTCATGTTTTTGGTGGCGAGATTACAGGCCTGGTTTCAAGGCCCTCCTGTAAAGTTTCCAGCAGATGATGTAAGTAGATGTAATGGTCTGGAACGTGAAGTGAGGGACAGGCGGTATCATTATTATTATTATTCCAGCGTTGTTGGCTCGTCCTGTAACCCTGAAGCCGTGTAGTTTGAGGCTAACATGGAGTTTGTCATGGTTATGACTGTGGTCTCCGCTAGTTTATGATGGGAAAGGATTGTGGTTTCAGAAACCGTTTCCTACACGCTCGCTGAGCTGCGGCGGTCAACCGTCACTAAAAAAGCTCTGCAGAAACATGGATTGGGTTCTCATGGCCTCAAAGAAAACTGTGGACTGGGTTTGTGTAATCACACCTACTGTGCAGATTTCTGCTGTTCCCTGAACCCATTATGGGAAGTCCCCGTTAATCACATGAAGGTTCTTTTCTCAACCTCTAAAAATGATTCATGGCTGTAAAATGTCAAATTCTGCCTCTTTGTACCGTAAACTGTAGATTCGACAGCGTTTCAGTGATTCAGCAGGATCAGGACCTGCTGAGTTTGGGTCAATAATCAACTCAGGATTGAACCTCTTTAGAGGAAATCTGGAAACATGATAAACCGAGGGCTGAAATTTACTTTGTAGGGTATCAATCAACTTTATTTTATTTCTATAGTACATTTAAAAGAACCACGAGCGTAGCCAAAGTGCTGTACATTGTAACATAAAAACAAATAAAACAAGCAAAGAACAAGATAGAGTGAGCAAAAATACATAAATGCAATAAATAAATAAATAAATATATAAATAAGCAGGATCACGGCAAGTGCTAAGATTAAAACAAACAAAATAAGACTAAAATGTATTAAAAGCCAAGGAGTAAAAGTGCGTTTTTAAAGGAGGGATTTAAAAACAGGAAATGAGAAGGCCTGTCTAATTACATGCAATCAGTCAGACTAATATGCATTTCAAAGTAAAAGCCTGAACTTTTTTTTTCTTTTAAATCCTGCTTTTATTCTGAAGTCATGTCCAGGACAGTTTCACCAACTTTAATTGAGGTTAAGGTGAACATATCCTGGGAAGACGTTTTTATTAGTCACATTAGCTACAAGCAAGAATGAATAAAAATGTTGATAAAATGGAATAATGCATTAAGAAGTTTACTGCTCAACTAAAGCCAGTTTAGGAAGGGTGACCGTACGTCCTCTTTAACCCGGACATATCCTCTTTTTGGGGGCTGTCTGGGGGAGTTTATAAAATCCTTCAAATGTCCGAGCTTTTGTGTGGAAGTTTTGAGTTTGTGCAGCATGGATCACCTGAGTTAGAAGTGCGTAAAAACACATAACCCAACCTGAAAAATCTCTTAAATTTCACACACTTTTGTGTCCCCTTTTCTGGGATTCAGAATATAGTAACCCTAGTTTAGGATAAATACAACTCACTACCATGTCACTCAAAAATTTTAAAGTGTATACCCTTCTTAGCATAAACTCATTTTTGAGTTTGTTCTATAATTATCAGTTTATTCCTTTTTCTGTTGGTATATTCCGACGTTCTTGCTCTGTGAATCGTACACATTCCCTCAGTGACGTCTGAACCCACATAAGCTGCAGAAGACTATCTGTACAGTCACAATCCTTAGGCTTAGTGATATTGTTAAACGTTATAAACATTAATAATATTAAATATGAGAGTCTTTCATCTTCCACTTTGATAACCAGATTATTATTTTCCTCCCTGAGCCTCCAGGGCTGCTGGATCTGGACACAGACCTCATTGTTGATCATTTTAGACTCTGAGGATGAGGAATGATTAAAAAAAATGATCATATTTATGTTAAACAGGGAAATAAGGAAAAAAAAACATCTTGTTTTTACAATATTTCAGACCTGGGGCTTCCTGACCTGAGCTCTCCTCAACAGGTGTTTTAGTTTTGCAGCATTTGTTTGGAGTTTGTACAGATTGACCGTACAAGGAGGTACAGCTGGATCTACTTTGTGTGGAGGATCACATTTATATACAGTAAGTCAGGTAGAGTCGCTCAGGAAGGAGTTTGGGAACGTTAGATCAACATCTAATGATAAAACAAACCAAACAACGTCTGTGTTTCATCGTCTCATATCACCAGAACATTAGAGAGAAACCCTGCTCGTGTTTTCAGATCCTTTCTCTGCTGTCAGTTTGAGGAAATGAAGCCCCGGTCAGATGTTCAGGATCAAAGAGGCTGTCAGGCTGCCAGCAGATACTTGTCGAGGATTTTTATGGAGGTTAACAGCTATGTGTGATCTCCTCTGTTAGCGAGGAGGGAGGCCGGTTTCTAAATCTGGAAAGCTTTACACCCGTGGAAGAACTCGCACACTTCAGCTGATCGGAGGTGGGTTTCCCTCAGGATCAGGTCAACACAACGATGTTTGGGATCACTAAGAGCTCAAATTAAGTGTCTTAAACTTGGATTTGTCAGGCCAACACTCGAGGAATAACCTAAAAATCTGTCATCCAGCTAACGACAAATGACATTGTGAGGACGCCAAAGTCGAATCAGTTCACAGAGTTTGACTACAGCAGATAAAATCACACTGGAAGCTTCTAGACTCGACTGTAAAATCAGTGCAGATGTTTCCATCAGAGACCTCCCGGGGTTCAGAGGTACTAAAGATCTGGAGGATCTCTGCGCACATTAAACGTAATCGTTCTGTTGGGATCAAGGTTTTAAAGATGAAAACTAACACATGAATGTTTGTCTGGGTTGTTTCACAGAGTACGCTTGTTTTAGACAAAGAAACCCTTCCACCCTCTTGAGTTTCTTCTCTCTAAATTGACATATGGGATTCATGTAACTGTTATTCACCACTCCTCATTGAAATATTATGAATGACAGCTTGTAAATCCACTTGAAGTGTTTGTTTTGCCTTTAACTGGTCCTCTGACTCATCCAACATCTCCATCCAGGTCTTTGTCTTCATCGTTCGTTTATTTTTCTCCGATCTTTCGTGTCGATCTTCCTCCCCCACTTTCTTACGACTGCTAATCCTCCTCTTCATGCCTGTCAGATGGAAAGCCAAGGTCAACACACTCTTCTTCGCCTGAACCCAGATTCTACCGATCCTCATGCTTCTCTTAGTTTGTATTGACAACCGTAATCGAGCGTATCCAGCTACCCCGTCAAAAATACCCGATCTACCCGATGTATCAAAAATGAAAACTCCATTAAATGTCTCGGCCTCTGTTTTGACCACACCGCTCCAAACACTTGAGAGTCTCGAGGAATTTTGAGTTAGCGTAACAAAGCCAATGAGCTTGACCTGGTTTTGGCCTGACAGATGACGCTAACAGCTGCTGAGTGTTGGAGTTGTCGGAGGACACGGAGGTCGAGGATTGGGATGGTTTCCTCCTCGGGGTGAACCTGGAGTTTCATTTTGACCCAATTTAGCAGCTAATTGTCCAAATCCTCCAGAGACGGTTGGGTAGAAGAAGACCGGTGCGTGAGGAGTTGATGACCCCGGGGAGTGGGGCACAGCTGCAGGAGTTTGTGAAACGGACGAATTCGAGGACTTACAGGAACCCTTTATGAGCACTCCAGATAAAGTGGCAGTTTTACAGCTCTGATATCACCGAAATGAAGGTCAATAAACTCCGCTCACTCTTTGGATGGTGACTGTCAAGTGGCGCCGTTACGGCAACAACAAACGGAACGGGGCTGCAAGTGGACTGGCGGAGATCCCGCTCTTTAAACCGCAGCAAACAACTCGGAGCGCCGAGCCAAAGCAGATGGTATCACTCAGACTCCTCCGCTCCCCCTCTATAGGAACAGTTTGGATAAGCTACACGGGTATCTCCGACGTGATGAATGCGAACACGCCAAACCTCCGCCTGCTATCAAAGCTTTGGCGTCCATCACTGGAAAAGAAGAAGAAGAAGGAGGGCGATCTTAAGAGATTTCTTTATGACTGGAGATGGAGATGAAGAGGTCACGCTGTGATGTTCTGTTGCAGATGTCGATCCTTCAGTTGCACCTCGGTCTGTTCGCCACGGTTACAGCTTTTCTCGCTCTATTCTTCTTTTTCATTTGCTTGTCTTGGTCTCTTTCTTCCTCGCTCAGGCAGTCAGCACTTTTCCATCTCGACAATCCAGAGCCGTGTCAGACGCCTGAACTTGTTTTGTCGATTAAGTGGGAAAGAAGCGTTGCCCAGCTCGGCTCCTTTTAACTCATGATTGATTGCTCCTGCCTTTCTTGTTCACATTATCTCCTTTCCTCACTCCAGTTCTTTCTCCTTTTCACCTTATTTCTAATTCATCACATCATTTTCTAGTCACAGTTGCCGGTTCTTGTTCCCACTTTCTCCAACCTCAAACTGGACCCGGCGGCGGCAGGCTGCCAAGATCAGACAGACTTTGTTTTTAGTCAGCCAATGATTCCTCCGACACTTTGGTCAGAGAGCAGTTTCTACAGCTGGTTAAACACAGCGTGGGCTAAGCCGAAACAACGTGGCGTTTACACGGAGCCCCATGACATCTGACCTCTGTGGACGTCCGCCTCTTTTACCACCAGCCTCTCAATGCTTTAATTAACTCGAAGAAAGAGTAAGGGATGAATCCTTCCAGCTCTCTTTCAACACTTAGTCACATCAATTAACATACCAGGAGTTCCCGATGGAGAGACAGATACAGATTTCACATTTAAAAAAAACTATTTCGCTGATTTGAGACCTTTTATGGTCGTGTTTACTGCCACTTTTGTGGTTTCAAGTCCCATTTTTAAGGTTTGTCACTCGACCTTTGGGCATAAATACAATCTGACTTCCATTCGAGGATCTTTTTTTAGTGTTTTATGTCCCTAAGAGGCACTCCAAGTCCTCCTGCTGTGAGTGCTTACTTCTGAAGATATTCTTCCATTGAATCAGTATTTGTCAGTTTGGCATGATCACTTCTTGTTGACAGTAGCTCTCCTCTCTTTTGTGGCCTTGTCCAGTCTTTTTAAATGGCAGAAACATGGATCTATAAACTGCATGTAACTCAAATATTTTGCTGAAAAATGACCTGAGGGTTTTTAAGTGAGAAATTAAGAAAAAACATGGCAAATATCTACTCTACAAAGGTTGTTCTGTTCCCCCCGCTGGCTGTGCCAAGTTGGTGCTCCGTATTAAGATGGACGATAAGGATTCAGGGAGCTGGCCGCAGTGTGTGTGTATTTGTGTGTATTTGTGTGTGTGTGTGTCAGGTGAAACTCAGGAGGAATACTTGGCTCCACTGACCTAACCGACTAAACTATTTGGCCTTTGGCTCTCAGTGGCCTTGGAGCTGCCAGCTTGTTCAGAGACGGAGAAAAAAGACCCTTATCAGTGACCCCAGACCTGTCCACTGTTGGCTTTTATGGGCACACTCTTAGAGCTTTTAATACCCGGTCCAGACCTGAACTGAGGCAGCTCCAAATCTGCAGGGGCAGTTTGTATTTCTGCACGACGGAGCCAAGAGGACACCAGAGTTCATCCGTGTTGTTTCATAGTTTTATAATTTAACCCAACGTCTGAGGAGCAGGAGAGAGAAGTGAGTTTATTTGTGAGTGAACTGTGTTTGGGAAACGTCCGACCTGCAGCAGAGAAGCTCCAAACACTCGGTCTATTCATGTTTAGAGTCGGAGAGTTTTAGAACAGTTAAACATGGACATAAATCATCACGCTAAGAGCTTACTTACTCAGAGCTGACCTGCAATGAACCCATTCCTCCTGGATGCTACACTTGCACTGTTGTCATTAGGAAGTCATTATATGCTCCACTTCCACGGTCGGCTGGAGTCACTCAGGGACCTTTAACCCCTTGTGAAACCTACAGCAATGCTGCCTCCAAGTCTCTGTGCAACTTTAGCAGGTCAGGCGGCTTTAAACTGCTTTTCTTAAAGATATGGACTAAGATGGACATGCACAGTACTCCAAATAAAGACCGGTTCAATTTATGGCTGGGTCCTTTATCATGACTGGCACCTTTATATACTTATAGGATGTCAGATTTGGAGCGATCTACATCACATCATCTCTGCGCTGTTTACTTCAGTTTATTTTTCTGCTGTCAGCATCTTGACTCTCTGCTGCTCAGAGCTGCTCTCTTATCCTGACAGAGCTAGATTCTATCTACTTACAGTATAAATGCGCTGGAGACGGAAAGATCTGACTGTCTCCACAGTGCAAGTAAAATCATTCGCGCGAATGAATTACATGTTAAGTCAATGCAAAGACGCGAATGACACGAATTGGGCAGGAGCTGAAAATGTCTCAATTTGAGCAAATATTTGTGTCACGATAACCAATCAGCATGAAGGTTGCCAGGTGACGTATGAAAACAGACGGTTGTTCACTGGTATCTAAAATGGAGGACAAATTGATCATGTCGGCAAGTGAGTGAGGAGGTCGGATTACCTGGTAAACTGTAAAAAGCCTTTGTCTATCACTTGATCCCGTTGGTTGAATTTGCAGGGATTACCGTTGAAATGACCGTTGATGCGCGAATGAAACATGTAAATACTATTCATTCACGCATCTAGATTCGCATGAATAAAGCGAGTAGATGATTTTACTCGTGCGTGGTGAGAGCGCCCCATTACCATTTTGTTATGGAGACATTTATGATGCATGTGACAAATTTACGACCAGTTTACCAGCTCAAGAATGAAAAAATAAATAAACTCCCCAGTGTGCAAAATAGCCCTGCCTCTATGTGTCTCATTTTACTGCGTTTTTTACATTTCTTTGAGAATCAGACGCTCATACTTCTCAGTTACAGATAATTTAATATAAAGGCCTGTCCCCCGCTTCATTTAAAGGCCTGGTACCTTTGGCAGTAAAAGAGGATTGATTGATTACGACTAACCGCATCGTCTGTAAAGAGCGTCCATTTTCAAAGCAGAGAAAATAGATCTAAGCGTAGATTAACACCATAAGTAAATGTATATATATGTTATGGCTTTCCACTGTATATATTTTCATACATTAAACAGACAGTAGTGTGTGAGACCACCGTGTGAGGAGAAGCTGCTTCGCCTCACTTGGAGACAGTCAACTCTCCTCCCTGAGACGAATGTTGGATGAGACACAAGAATGCGCTCTGCTTACCGCTCAGCCCCTTTCACCGCGGTCCAGACCTCACTTTACCTGTCACACATAAGGCTCCCGTTGTGTGTGTGCATGTGTAATTCAGTGTGAGAGGTACACGGAAAGAAAGAGCGTTTTCAAAAGCAGAACTCGGCAAGATTTCAATGTCGTAATAAAATTATTGTAACAGTTTCCAACTTGTTTGGTCGCCATCGGTGTTGGCAGAAAATCCTTCAGGACAGAAAAAGTTTAACCCAAAAAAGAGGGAAACACAAGGAAGTCATTTTAGAGAGAGACGATGGATGACAGGTCCAGAACTGTCCCTACAAATCACCAAGAAAGAGAAAGACAAATCCAGATCAGGGACTAATGAGTCCTTAATCCTGTTGAAGTCCAGCAGTAAAGCTCTCCGGCTTCCATAACCAAACAATGAGGGTTGGTGTCACCATGTTTTAACCCCATCCATCCCTCTTAATCCTGACAGCACATCTCCGCCTCTCGAGATACAACTGTTGTCAACTTTTTTCCACTGGAGCTGAATCATCAGGCAGCACATCAGAAGTTATGGTGCTTCATGTGAACGTCAGTAACAGCTCATCCATGCATCTCTTTTCTTTAAATTCACTTAAGCCGGGTTTCCCCCAGGGGCACGTCTCCCCCCGTCACGTCGTCTGCTCTTCATGGGTGATCTTGAGGTTTTGCCAGGTCATATGGGATATATAATCCCTCCATTGTGTTCTCTGGAGGTCTCTTTTCCCCAGAGGACTTTTACAGCTTGTAGGAGTCTCTTTCGTGAACCATACAGAAATGCTCTTTTTCCAGGTTTTGGTTTAGTAACAGTAAACTTTAACTCTTTAGTTAGAGTCAATAATATTAAAGGCCCTGTCCGATTGTTTGCATATATTTGAGTTTTTCGTCTGTATTTTTGGGAAAACTCAAACTGAGGTTTGGGGGGATGCTGATAATAAAAATCTGCCTTTGTGCAAACTTCATCTTTTGTACTTTTGGGACCAACTTCATCCACCCATGTCAATATTTATGTAAAGAGGGCTGAGCTTGCTGACCCCAACGACACCACCCTGTCCAAGGAGAACACAGCCCGATGGAGCAAACCCAACTCCATCATTGGCAGTAAAGAGATAAAAAGCTGAGATCATCCCGCTTCTCACTTCTCAAACAGAGCTAACAACAAAGCATGCATCTGTACAACAATAAATCCTATCTTCTCACTTCTCTCACTTTTCTTACTCGGTGGTTTTAATCCTGCAGCTGGCATCAATAAGAATGAGATAGTGCACAACCTCATTTTGCTGCAGTGGGTTCAGGGAGTCATTGTTGGAGCAGAAAATGTCAGGTTGGCAGCTTTAGTTGAAATCTTTGAACAGGAACCGAAGAAGGTGGGTCTAAACTGTGATTTAGTGATCCAGTTTCATTCCTAAAGAGCTGCACACAGTTGTTTCACATGAGACTGGTCAGCAAGTCTGTGCCACTTTTAGTTTTGTCATTAAATAGGACAAAATAAATCTGTTTTTTTCAGAAAGTGTTCCTGAATTCTTTAGTTTTGATACCAGGCGCGGTGGTTTGTCTCCCGCTGTTTGTAACCAGAGCCACTTAGCATCAGTCACTGAACCCAGCTTATCGTTTCCTCCCTGCAGGATCATGTATTATTTATTCTGGTTTGGCTACTGTGGAATTTCCCCAAAAACATCTGATGTTTTGGATTCGTTTCCCTCCACTCCACAAAGTAATTGCACTTTCTTTTATTTATTTATTTTTTCTTCTACCCTGGGAACTAATTGCTTGCGCTTGAATAATCAGCCCCCAGCATAATGCTGGACTGGCCACTTTTTTTGTTCCCAGCACTGACAGGAAATCTGTGAACGGGGTTAACTGGGGACACGGCCAGTGTTTTGGTTGAGTCAGTGTTGGCACTGAGACTGTAGAGCTGTGCGACTGAGCCAAGGGTGCAACATGTCATGGAGAACTGATTGGTGAATAACATCAGTGATTGGTAATGACAAATTAATACATCAATAATGTACTTCTTGGTGTCTTATGTTTCATTTCACATTGCTGGAGCTGCTGATTTTGCAGCTGTATCCAGAGTACGTGTAATAGAATAAGATGACTTCATAGCAGATCTACTAAACATCAGCTGATAAACCTGGCGTGCAAGAAGTGGAATAAACTCACACAGTTTGATTAGGAATCACTCCTAAGTATAGATATCTATAAGAAAGGCTAGATGACTCCAGGTGGAGTCACCGGCGTTCCAACACGGCGGCCATCTTACTTCAGTAGGGGACCATCAATAAATTACCAGTTGTTGTTCTCAGAAAGCCTGTTTCCCTTCAATAGCTTCAATAATAATACTAAGGTCGGACGATAAGACACTCCTCTTTATTTGCCTAATTTGTCCTCTAAAAAATGTTTGTGTTAAATTTAAAGGCAAATTTTGAAAATTTTCTTCAATAGCTTCCATATCACGTGACCAAACGACCTTAAATTAATTACAAATAATAGTACTTAAGTCGACCAATAGGACAAACATTATTTGATCAATAGTCAAAATAAATAAATAAATAAAGGTTTAACATTTAAACACATTTATTTATGAATATGAAATGTTGTAAAGTCGTTTTCTTGTGAGAATTCAGTCGTAGTAAAATAATATAAGGATTGTACCACAACTTCACTGTCATAAAAATGACTGTCATAGTACTTTCTTGTAAGAGTTTCAATACCGCAATGGAAAAATACTCAATCTCAGGTTAAAGTCCAGCATTTAAGATGAATAGATTAATAAAGGTAGTATTAGTACGTTATTAGTAGGAAATCATGCTGTAACTTCTGTATAAAAAACAAGATTTTACTGACAGACTCACTGGCACCTTTTCAGAGTTAGAAAAAGACCAAGTTGAAAATGGCCTTCAGACGATAACCTCTTTGTTGTGTGTGGTTGTCATGCATACTGATAGTGGTTGATGGTGAGTTTGACATGTGCCGCTGCTGTGTTGAGGAAGCAGATGGAGGTCAGAGTGACAGTCAGCAGGCAGGAGGACAAGAGGAGGAAGGAGAGCAGCTGGATGGAGTAGTAAGGAGGTGAGTCAGACAGGAGATGTCGTACGGTACTTTCCCCATCTGTTGGTGTGACTGCGTTGAGTTAATATCGTCTATAGATTGTAAAAGTTATACCGAACAGTGAGATACTGAAGAACATACATGTGCTGTCGTGGGTTTGTTTTACGTCGTGGAGACAGAGCTGCCCCCTCCCCTCTATAATTCACACTCTGAGTTAGAGTACCTGTGGAAACACCCTTGGCTCTGTGCCTCCAGAGAAAATGATGGCGTTTGAAACGGCTCACTCAGATTCCCGTTAACCATCTGGTTCATCTCACAAACCGTTGGACTGAAATCTGTTTCTGTTTTATGGTGTAATCAGCTGCACAGTGTTTCGCTGATGTCCTGTTGCATTAAGTCATGTTGGCTTCACTGCGGAAATCGTCCTTCCACTCTATGAGGACTGCTGCAGCCAAATATCTGCACTCAATGACATGATAGCAGCGGTTAATACTGTACTTTATGATATGGTTGGATCTCGTGTGTCGACTTAACTCTCCTGCAAAGGTCACAGTGAACTCGATCTGGAGGAGCGTACCATCTCTGCACGTTAAGTGAGCTTCCTGATGACTCTGACATTTCACCAACATGAGCACAGACTCCTTTTGTATGTCTACTGTACATTAAAAGCTGCACTGGTTTAACTTCCCACTCTGGAAACCTGACATGGCAGCTCCAGATATCTATTTGCATTTCTGAGCGTATGAAGGCCCTCATTGTAGCTGTGCATCCAGGGTGAATTCGCACCTCTATTTGGAGGCTGTTATTTGAGACGGAGATTCAGAATTGAAGCTTCTGACACAAAAACAGTGGAGAGCTTTAGTTTAGGGATACCATCAGCTGTTTTCAGAGACTGTCTTTGGTAAACCAGGATTCCTACGAAGGTTGCGAGTCCCGTAAATAGATCAGTTATTCAGCAGATGCACATTTTCTTTTGCTGCTTTGCCAACAAAAACCCTTTTACCTCTAAAATGATTATCAACATCGTCCTGAAAGTCCCTGATCTGTCAGACCCTCTCTGCATGACGGTGATTTATCTTTTCTTATCGTGTGGGTAACTCATCCTCTTAACAGTAGGAAAGACTTTCCCATACAAATCATCCCGAGTGATTTGTCACCGTGTGTGGCTCTCGAATGCCTCTGCCGCAGCAGCGAGGTGCTTGCAACACCGTGTAATCCGTCTTCCCCCCGCCGGGATCAATAAAATTGACGCAATATCGACCTCGAGCTGTCTGTTTGGGATAAAAACGTCGCTTTGAAGCCGCGTCAGATTGGGGAAATCTGGTAGCTTGCTGACTTTGAGACCTTCTTCATGTGTCAGGCTGTTTCCTTCTGTGCACATGGTTTCTCTTATCTGAGCATGACGATCACATTCCTCACATATGCAGGTGCTACCTCGCTCCTGAATCAGTCCTCTCTATTTAAACATTCCTACGCTTTGGTTATCACGTCTCATTCTCATATTTTGGATATTTTAAGAGTCCGATTACACCAGACTTTTGAATCATTATTAGGATATCGCTTTCTTACCGCAATATAAAAAGTTAAATGTTTTTATTCAGGCAAAGCCAAACTCTTAGGAGCTTTTAGAAGTTTAACACAAGTGTTAAAAGTGTCTTTGTGCGTCCGTTCATCGCTGAGCTAAGCGCCCCAACTCTTTGATCACAGTCGGAGCGTTAACACCTAGATCTGCTCCCCCTCCTCTGAATATCCTCGCTCCACTTCAGCCCCGCGCTGACAGAGCAGCTTTGTGCGAAACAGGAGGCCTGCAGACTCACCTGGTCGCGCGCAGGTTTGTGTGCGTACTCCAGTTAAACACACAGGCTGTGTGGTCTCAGCGATTTACTCCGAACTTCCTGCTTCTGGTTAAAACACACGGCTGACATCACCTCTGGGCTGTCGATCAAACCCTGAATGAACGGGTGTGAGGTGTCCTGTTTTGTCTGCAGGAGCCCAGAGGGAGAGATTAAATCTGCCGCAGCAGAGTGGAGGAGTTCAGTTTTTATCGTGTGTTTACTTTACTGATTGAAACACACAGATCTGAGGAGAAAGTCCAGTTTCTTTATTCAGTAAATTTAAGTATTTTAACCAATGATCATGTTCCTTTATGGTTCTTAATTGCTCTCACTCTGGGACCCACATTTTCCCACGGTCCTAAAGTCACGACCCACTTTTATAAAATCCAAACCAGGCAAATAAAGACTGTAGGGCTGTCACGATACTATTTTTTCACTTATGATACTGATATTGCAGCCTTAAATATCGGCCAATACCGATACCAATCCGATATCAGCACGCCACGAGTGATACATACTTTCATGACTTATTTTGTAGTGTGGAATTTTAGAAAAGGCTGCATCAAGTGATATTACTCAAACAAAAACTGACCCATTTATTATTAACAAACAAATAGAAGAATAAATAGAAATAAATTGGGAGGTCTTGAATAATAGATAATAGAATGTAAACAGAATGAATATATCACTCTAACAATCAGTCAGTCAACTAAACTCCTGACTACCCTGACTACTCCTCCATCTCCACTTTCTGCAGTCATGATGTGGTTTGAACTCCATATGTCGGTGGTGAAGCTAACAGCGTTTACTTTCTCCACATATGCGGCGGTACACTTTTAACTTCTTTATGCATCTGAGGTAAAGTTTTGTCGACATTGTAGTGGGATAGGGGTAACATAACGTGGCTCGAGGTGCTTAATTAAGCGTTTAAACCCAACATTACTCACCGCCGACAGGGGCTGGTCACCAAGCACCGTAAACTGAGCGATCTTCCATTTCCAGGACCCTGACATAGTGCGTGCCTTTCAAAATAAGCTAGTTTTTCAAAATAAAAGACATGTCAAACTTCAGATGCTCATTAAATATCTACTTTTTTGACCAGCTGTTAACGACCCACTTTTGGGTCAGGACCCACCAGTTGAGAACCGTTGATGTAAAGCACACAGGGAGTTAATCATCATTAGGAGCCAGCTCGTACTCTCAGTGAGTCCAGAGTTTTGACTCATTACTGAAGTTGCGTTGCTGCGCCTTGAGAATAATGTGCACATGTGTTGATTAGGAAAGTCCCTGGAGTTCTTGTTTCAGCAGATTTCATTTCACACCACTCATGACATAACCGACACAGTGACCTCTTTACCTTTACACACTGCTGTTGGAGTGTCCTGGACGTTACCCAAAGCAGTGAAAGCCCCCCACTCATTCATGCCAACTTCTGCACTTTTGTGAGCGATGTCCAATTTGACGTGGTCGCGCGAATAATCTGCTCATCTGATGTCTACGAGGCGTTTGACCTTCTGGCTGCTCCAAGTCGACGTTTTGGAACCGGCTTCACATGGCGTTTGTTTACATCTGCAGTGAGAGCGAGGGGCAGTCTCATTATAATGGTGTGTTTCTTCATTGGCCCACTTTACAGAGTCACAAAGTAAACATTCAAAGACCCAAATAGAAGTTGCAAAATATCATTTTATTGTCTGAATTAAAACAAAGCAAACGAGCTACAGGTGTGAGAGCGCCCGGAGATTTATCTGCTCTCATCAAAACAGCCAGTAAACATAATCAGACTCACATGACGTTAAGATGGGTTCATGTGTTTGTCAAAAACAAGTTGTAGTTGTTGCCTGGTGATGCGATTTGTAGCAGGTGCATTCCCATGATGATGCACATCTTCACATCTTCCATGTTTCAGACTGAGCTGGTAAGACGGTGCGTTTCATGCAAGTGAAGAACAGCGAATCTTGAACCGATTTGTCGTCTTGATTCGATTATAGTCCCGGTTATTTACTCGTGTTGTGACATCCATGTTTTTGACACATGTGCTGTTAAACAAGTGAGAATCTCAGAATCAGTTAGGCCGACATATTTTAGGTTACAAAAGGCTAAAAATGATCCCACAGTCGGAGAATCATGAGAGAGAGAGAGCAGCGTGTTTGTAAGATGTGGTGTGACCGCTGCCACAGAGGCTCTTCTGTGTGTAACTCTGAGGTTTTAAATCCAAACACTCGGATAAAGTTTGGATGGATTTGTTCTGGATTCTTAGAGTTGTGTGAATATTTGTAAGAGCTGGATCAGGACCACGCTGAGGTGCAGTTCCTATCTGAGGATCTGTGATGTGGACTCACTGATGATCGTGGCTGATTAGATTCCAGTTACTCGGCCTCTTATTAGATGTGACAGCTCATTACTGGACTACTGTGGACTGACTGACAGCTGAGGGACTCGGGCCAGCACCCTTCAGAGAGATCCAAATACTGTGTCTATCATCACCACACTATTATGACCTTTCTTATTTTCTTTTTCCCTCAGTTGGAGCCCCAATAATCTATCTTTACTTCTTGGCTAAGACTGAGTAAAACAGCTCACATTCACTTGAACGCACTGATATATACCATACGTTAGTCCTCTGAAAGAACAACTGATTCTATTTGACAAGAGCCCATGGTCCCTATAATACATTTAAAATATGAAAAATAACATTTTCTGTCAGGAACTGGACTTAAATGTGAAGTTCATGTTCAGTGCAGTATGTGTGAACCAGAGGCAACCAGCCTGGATGCATATGGAGTCTGTAGGGTTAGTATGGAAAAGATGTGTTATTCCACAGTCAGGGAGAGCTACAGGCTTTATGATACACTGGTATGAAGCTTGACGTGGCAGAGGGTTCTTAACTTGTCAGGGGCAGATTTAAAGGGGCAGTCAGTGGTGGATGGCCCCTCTTTAAATCCAGACACACAAAGATTAATCCATTAAAGGATATTCTGGCGTAAAATTAAGTTTGGGTCAAACACACCATAACACCAAGTTTAGCAGCTGCTTGATTGTACAGAGACCTCAGGCCAGTGCATTAAGGACTACAGCGGGGTGCCACAGCTCAAGGAAGAACATTCATGATCATTTCTTTATCATTTCCTTGAAGTTATAATCATCATATTAATCATGTTGCACTGCAGACACGGTTGTTTTTCTGCCTCAGCGTCTCGGTCTGATTGTATTTCCATGAAGAAATGATCATAAATGTTCTTCCTTGAGCTGCGACACCCCGCTGTAGTCCGTAATGCTAAATGAGTCAAAGTTAAAAAGATGTTTGGTGTCTAGTACTATGTCTGTGACCCTATATGTCCTGTTGATGAAGTTAGGTGCTGTTCTGAGCATTATTTGTGGCTATAGAGTGGCGTTTTGGTTGGGGGCGTGGCTCTCTGTATTTCTATCCTGCGGTCGTTACTAAAGTTGGTATAACTAGAGAAGCAAGCGGTCAGCAACATTCATCTCTGGAGGGGGGGTCTAACTCGGTGTTACGGTGTGTTTGACCCTAAATTAATTTTACGCCAGAATATCCCTTTAATTAAGTATCAACATTGCTTGAAAATGCTAATTCAATCTTCTTTAAAGTTGTGATTATGAAAGCGTGCATATTAAGTGCACTCTCTGCTCTGGACCATCTGGATTTTGCTGTAACTTTTGCTTCACTCAGGGACTTTCTCAGTCAGACACACACACACACACACACACACACACACACACACACACACACACTCTGTAAACACACTGACCCATTTAAGACAGCAGCCCTGCAGAGCGGAGGCAGCAGCCGTGTTTGGATCGACTGTTACTCGTTTGGAAGAAAAAGAGCAGTCATGCAAACACTAGATACCATGTAAACAGAAACACTGACAAACAGCCTGTTTCCCTCCACCTGCTCTTACACCACCTGAGTCATGATGCTGTCATTCTCATTACAACACCATCTGTTGAAGCTGCTGTTGGTGAGAACTACTACCTTTGCAGACCTTAGTGTCATTTATGGATGATGTCCTCTAACTCATTATCAGGTGCTAGACTTGACATAAAAGTAAAAGTACTAGAGTAAATAGTAAGTTTTTGCTACCGTTTTCACCCCAAACCTAGCCAAACTTTATCCAATCCAACATGGATTTGAGTACCCCAGTTTAGATCAGGGTTATAACTTTTCTGTTTTCTGTTTTCTGATTTTTGTAAACTGGGATAACCTCTTTTTCTCCAGAAACCTGATTCTACTAACTGTTTCTGAGAGCTACTGGCTCCTGGCTCAGGCTCAGCCTCGGCCAAACAACATTTCAACAAAACCAAGACGATGGCGACAATGAAAGTTTCTTAATCCTGGAGATTTTAGCTGACAGTAATGAAAAAATGAACCGTAACGTTTAGTTGGAAATGTTGACCTGTTTCAGGACTCTGGTTTCCCAACATGAACAGTGGAGCAAGTCAGGTCACGCTGTACTGAGGAAATCTTGTTTGGCGGCCAAACGTCAGAGCGAAAACGTGGCACTGATGCTGCATCTTTGAAAATGTGACAAAATCTTGGACGAGACGCTTTGGCGCCATCCGCTGGCGACAACAGAGGGTTACTGAGGGCTTGTTTGGTATGTGGTTCATCAGTTTGGTTTCTAAGGGCGCGTTCACACCACCCTCGTTTAGTTCAGTTGAACTGAACCCCGGAGCGTTTACCCCCTTGGTGCACCCCTTCATTTGGGACGGTGTCAACGCTGACCTCAAACTCTGGTGCGGACCAAATAAATGAACTCTGGTCCGCCTGAAGAGGTGGTCTCGGACAGCTATCAATCACTGGAAATCACACGTCATTAATGCCTGTTGCCGTCTCGTCTTTATCCATCTGTTGTTTGCAGCACATCTACTCTGGAATGTATTGATAAATGCCGCAGTTGGCGCCCGCTGGCTAACGAGCCGTTCATACGCGCGATCGACTAGCATCTTTTGATGTGCGCTCCAGATGAGTAGCAAAAGCAAAATCAGCCTACGATACTCCATGCCAGGTGAAGACATCAAAGGGGTTTGTATTCCCGCATAAGCTAAGGACCAAGCAATAACCGAACGATATTTGCGGTCACGTGACTTTCGGTTCCGTTTTCTGGAGCGATTGAGTTTGTTCTTTGTGAACACAAACCGGGCCAGTTAAACGATCAAAACAAATGTATCGTCTCGCCTTGGATTTGAATCAGGAAACTGACCTTTAGTTGTGAGCGCGACCTCCAACCTCCAACTTACTGTTCTGGCACAACGGTAGGTTTGTAAACGGCGTTGAACAGCGGGTCTTGATGGTGTTTCTGTTGGTTTTTGGGTCGCCCTCTTATGGACACCCAATTTCTAATGGCTCCATTTTCAGTTTTCTTCTCTAACATGATAAATGAGTGTTTGTGTAATCTTTTTCTGTTGAACTACAAATCAAACTTATCTGCTGGTGTTGTCAAACATCTTCCCAAGACAGGGGAGTTCCTCCAACAAAAGCCAACGTTATTCCTCCTGGACGTCAAAATTAAATCACTTGGCAGGATCTTGCGTTTCCTTTAAACACCTTGAAGTTATTACTTCTTTTTACAGAACTTGCACTGTATCTCCAGAGCCTCCTTCTTCGCTCTCTTTCTCTTGCCTCGTTCCAGAGCAGGTGCTGTGAGACTCGGCCAAGTCCGATTACACGGAGCGGTCCCACCCTGACCCAAATAACCCACAACTTTCTCACAGCTGACTATGACTTCGATGTGGATATTTCACATTTTCACCAGAATCATCAAACCTGGGGTTGGGTTGATGCATGACACGGGACAGACACAGAGCCTGTTGCATCATGGGAACTTAAGAGAGTTCATCGAGTGTGTTTAAGTATCTATGGTGATCCGTTCAGCTGTGCAGTCTTTGACCCGGTGGGCGAACATCTGCGGTGAAGTCACTTTGAGGCAAAAAGGAGCAAAGCGACAGGCTGAGCTGCGGGATTGTTGGCAGGACTCGAACACTGATAGTGTAAAGAGAAAAAGAACAAACTCTGAGTCTGTTCTGTTTCTGCTGCCAGAAAACCAATCAGAAAGTTCTGCTTTTAGGTTTCCCTGGAATCAGAAATGGGTCAGAGAGAAGTGGGGAAAAAATTCTAGTGTAACTTACTTAGATTTCACTCCATCAGCTTAATAAGAGTCAGCACAAGTCAAGCCAAACATCAGGAAGTATTTACACTTTCTTCTCATTTGTAAAGCCTGATATGAAACCACTTCTTTCTCATTAAGAGAGTGAAAACGAGGGTTTGGTTGGTAAAATCATCTTCCATGAGAGTTTGGTTCTTTTAGAGTCATGAAGTTCAATCAGATCCAGATTCTGGCTCTGGTTAAAAATACCAAACAGAGCTTACACTTGTCTTTGTGAACAATTTCAGAAACTGCCTGCCTTGCATGTTAGTGTGATCGAGGAAAACTGAGCTGTTAGAAACACGAGCCAGCGCGGACGGTCAAAGCCAGCTTGGCTGTAATGTTTCAGGGACTCGGTGCCAGTTTTGACCTTATCTCAATTTCTGCGGATTACATTCGTTCTGCTTAATAAGCCTGAATTTATTGGGCGGGTTAATCTTGGTGAAGCTGAAAAATCTGTTGTTCTTCCTGGACCACGAGGTGGAGGCTGATGGAAGCTGATTCAGTTTCAAACGGCAGAAAAGGAAATCCAAAATCACAAGTACGGAGGATGTTGGGGATATTGACACAGATGGGGGGGCTTTTCTGTAAGTATGTGGAGGCAGAAAGCTTGTGTCTCAGACCTACGGTGCCCAGAATAAAGTCAGTACACCACCTATTAAAATTAATTACTCAATATCTCAATGAGCAAAAGTACAATTTCTAAAGTTTTGACAAAGCTGAGTTTAACATTTTATCTACCATAAGATGAAAATAAAGGTGATATGGTAACTAAGATTTAGTTTTGCTCACAGAACTTTGATTGATTTGACTGATTTTAAATTGAAAAATATACTTTTTTTGTATGGCCTACATTTGGGGGAGTATTTTGTCATATAGTCTTACAGAAAATGTTGATTTTGAAAGGAAACTTAAGGTTTTCTGACAACTCTGAAGGGGTGAACTCTAGGGCCCGACCGATTTATCGGCGAGCCGATTAAATTGGCCGATTTTAGCCTGTTTGAGACTAATCAGTAATCGGCCAAAACTCAACGATTTTCGCTGATATATTTTTAGAAATCAAATGTGGAGAATAAAATTCGGTTTCACTTCGAAAATGTTCTGCCATTTGAAAAGTTCCCCGACTTATCCTGTAGATGGCGTAGTTGAAAACGCTTTTCTAGTCCGAGGTTTGATCAGTCGGTCTTCCTGTCGGCGTGAAGAGCAGTAGCCTACAATAGATCTACAGTATATAGTATACTGTTGATATCGACAGTATATATATATTTTATAACTCAATAAAACATTTTAAAAATCAGCCAATTAATCGGTAATCAGATTTCTTCCCCCCAATAATCGGCATCGGCCCTAAAAAATCTATATCGGTCGGGCCCTAGTGTACTCATCTATGCTGAGCACTGTAGCTGGAATATATGACGCTGATGTTTTCTTAATAATGTGAGAACTACACAAAACACTAAAACTGAGTTTAGTGCTAGTTCAGGCAGGCCATGAGGTTGTTCTTGATGTCGGCTTGTATCAGCTGACAGTTCAGCTGTTGTCTGCTCTTTTCTGTACTGTGAGGGTCTGTGCTGATAAAGCTCTCTCTCTTTTCCTCAGATGTAATCGTAGGAGGTTCTTAAAACAGAGTCAGTGCATCAGATGGAAGTTTTTGGATTCGAGTAGTTCTTTATGTTTGACTGAAATTGGTTCTCACATAGTTTAACGTTAGTTTAAATATCTCCAGAGATCTCACACTGAGGATGTGGAGTCTATAAGCGGTTATATCTGTAATTTAAACAGAGAAACAAACTCCAGCTCAGTCTCAGTCACAGCCTGCTGTTCAGACTTGTTGCACATCTCTGTTATTTTTTAATTGCTGAAGTCTGTCGGGGGTTTCAATCCAATTAATGCATGGAGGGAAAAAGTGCGGCCCTGTCTCTGCAGGGAGCCGTACTGACCACACACAGACACACACTGCTCTCACTGGAGTCTATAAGTTTACACTGTCTCTCTCTCTCTCTCTCACACTCTCTCACACACACACACACATGCCATGCAGTAAGCCTAATTAACAGGAGCTGCCACTGCGCTGCACGTGTGTATTAGTCTAACCTAATGCCTTCCAGATGCCCAGCCTCTCCGTACCCCGCTGCTGCCCGTTCGCTCGCAGTGAACAGACGATTGTTTCCAGGGGTCTGTCCGCTAAGGAGAACCAGGTGTGGAGGGGGCTGTGAGTGTTGTTGGAGGACACTCAGAAGTACCTAAAGAGACACTCTGTGACTCTGAAATTCAGGATAAAAGAAAGGGAGGAGACAACCCTGAATTAACGGCACGGTCAAGAGGTGGACAGAGTTTCTGTTCTGATGGTTTTATCATGTTTAAAAAACCATTAAAGACACAAAACTGACATTTGAGACTAAATCTTTGGGACATTTGTTCACTTACATAGTCGCCAAGAGGTGTATCTTTCTTTTTCTGATCGGTAGAGTCGCCCCCTGACAGCTATTTTAACAAATTCCCGTAATAGTTTTACTGTTGAAACCAAAGGCGACAAAAACTCACAAAGTTTATTTCATATCTGCTGAACTCTGAAAGACAAATAACAGAGTTCAGGATGAAACTGACTTTACAAACTAACAGTCAAATGAAAATAAATGTCTGAAAGTTGAATCTGAAACGACTCCACACTGTCTCAGGATAACACACCAACTGACCCGCAGCTGGACCCGCTCCAGCGCCGGGATTCCTCTCTATGGATTGTGTACCCTGTCAGCTTCAAGTACACATCAAGTACAGCTTCAAGTGCGCGCGGCGTGTTACACGTGGCGGCCTCGGTTATGTTTTGTCTGGACATAGAAACCACCCGTTGTGTATCCACAGGAACACGGGCCGATGTTTTAGAAAAAAGAGGAGAAAAATGTGCCGAAGGGGTCGGCGAGCGGAGTTTCTTTTGGAGGTTTGAACACAGACGCACAGATGTTCTGTAAAGTTAAGACGTTAAAGTTTGATGAGATGTAACCATCACATCATTGGATCAGATTTACTCAGCGAGTTTCATGCAGAGGACGTGTCGTAGAAGGTCTGATGGTCTGATTCATGTGCAGAAATGATGATTTTAGGGGCGTTTGGACCTTCGGACTTGGAGTTTTTTTATATTTTTGATTTTGGGCCCTAAACATGTTATGATATGTTACATTTCTATATATATTTATGAAAAAAGGAACCGTAACTTCAGTTTTATTTCAAGATTTACTCTGCAGTGATCATTAAGTAGGTAAATATGCTCTTCTTTAGAGTCATTTAAAGGGGGTTAAGTGGTCTCATGGGGGTTTCTGTTCACTCCCTGCATGTTCAGAGTGTCAGACATGACTAACATGAAGAATTATTTGCAAAATAATCTGAAAGAAGAAGAAGACGTGGCGTCCTGCACCATGAAGTTTGATGTAAACATGGCGTCTCTGTTTGATGACTTACAAAGCCGAGTTTATTTGACTCTCTGAACAGTTGTTCTCTCCGCTGCACTCGTGGTCGTCTGCTTTATTTGTTTTCTTCCCCTCCGCTCTGACATGGTTTCCACCGCTGTGTTTGCTTTCTTCCAGATCGCGGCTCCTCGTCATCCCTGGACCTGACGGAGCTGATCGGCGTTCCCTTCCCCCCCTCCATCTCCTTCGTCACAGGATTCGAAGGTTTTCCCGCCTACAGCTTCGGCCCGGAGGCCAACGTCGGCCGCCTCACCAGATCCTTCATTTCCGACCCGTTCTACAATGACTTCGCCATCGTGGTCACGGCTAAACCCGCCACACGAAAGGGTGGAGCGCTCTTCGCCGTCACAGATATGTACCAGAAGATTGTGCACCTGGGGGTGGCGCTGTCTGAGGTGGAGGATGGTTCCCAGAGAGTGGTCCTGTACTACACCGAGCAGGGAGCGAGTGGGACTCAGGAGGCGGCGTCCTTTAAGATGGGAGACATGACGGGGAGATGGGTGCGGTTCACTCTGACAGTGCAGGGGGCGGAGGTGAGTCTGAAGAGTTCGATTTAAGAGAGTGACAAAGGCGTTTCCTGTCTAGAGGTTTGACGTCTGTGTCTGTGTCTCTCAGGTGCGCCTCTTCATGGACTGTGAGGAATATCACCGGGTCGACTTCCTCAGGAGCCCCCAGCCTCTTACGTTCGGCGCCACATCCGCCACCTTCGTGGGGAGCGCGGGGGCGACGGGCCTGCCCAAGTTTGTGGTGAGTCTGACCGACACCGCTTCAGGATGGTCTAGTTTGTGCGCCGCCTCTCTCTGTAGATAATCCCTCGTCCCTCATGATGTCAGAGGGTTTGGAGGGAAGAGTCGACAGCAGATGTCAAATCCGCTTCTCGCCGCGGAAACAAACGTGGCGTTTGGGCGTCTGCCTGTTTTACATTTGACACATGAACACAATCGTCTTTGTTGGCAGCTTAGCGGCTGCCACAGGAGACGAGGAATGAATGACCACATGTGTTTGTGAGCGCCGCTTCATCCTGTGAGAGCTTATAAACGACAAGCTGTATGTGATTTACATATTTTGGGATATAGCGGATCTCTCGTCTTGAATGACTTACAGTGAGCGCAGCCGTCGATGCAAACGCCAAGTCTGTAATTAAAAGGAGCAGCAGACTCAAACAAGAGTCAAGACTCCGATCTCAGGCAGTTACAGAGAAAATCCCCTCAGTGTGGTGAGAAAACGGAGAATCAAATCCAGGAGACGAGGTAGGAACACATGCTCTCTGTGATCCTGTAAAAGAAAACAAACCAGCAAACGCCGCGACGCCTCCCCGCCAATCAGCCAAGATTTGCTGTTTAGTGATCACGAGGAAAAGGCGAGTTTGTCCCGGTGTAACACGCTGAGAAGAGAAGAGCTCAGGAAACAGATTTCTTGGCTTCGATAAGCTCTGAGTTAAATCTGAATCCGCTCCAAAGTGTCCTCAGAATATGAACATTTAACGAGATAAGAGCCAAAACATACAATAAAGCACGCCAGACGGAGTCCTCCGAATAAATCAACTCACAGTCGGTGGCTCAGCGTGGAAAAGATTGACCTTTAACCTTCAAAACAAAAGCCATACCTTCTCCACGCTGGGTTTGTCGTCCTCCTCGTCTCTGATTTAAAGTCTTGTAAGGTCAAGAGCGGGACAAAGTAAAAGATGTCTCTGTGAGTGGAGAGACAGTCTTTTGTCCACGCGGCTCTTTTCCTCTCATTAAGATTTTATTGGAGAAATCGGAGCAGAGTCACGAAGAGACGGTCGGGGAGGAAAGAGTGTTTTCTCAGGAGTTTGGAGCCTGTTTGGTCGCTGTGAGGGTTTTTCTTTTCACATGTCTGATGGCAGTTTTTAATCTATAAAGAGCTGAGAATAAAACTTTGACTCTCTAATGTTTCAGACGTGACTGTTTTAGAGTAATAACTATACGTTTCTTTAATATTTCTCTGGATAATGTCATTTATTCTGAGGACAGTTAGTCATTGTAAATAGTGGAGGTCATTTACTGACATGATAGTGTCGTATTGGGGTTGACGAGGACAGTAAAGCAACAGGAAGTAATTTCCCCCATGATATTACATTTAAATTAACCGTTCTCTTAATGAGGATAAAAATACTATCGATTGGGACTGTGCCAAAGAGGAATGGGAAACAAAATCTATGCAGTATAATGTCTGGGTGTCGATTCACAGAAGCTTTATACCAAATTTTAAAAATATGTTGATTACAGATTTGAAATTAGTTTTTGGTAATGAACACACAGACAGGATTTTAAAGTTTCAGCTGTTTTGAAAGATAAATGAGTTTCTGGCACATTTGAAAGATCTCAAACAGTCAGTCCAGGTTCATAAAGTCAGTCCAGGTCCCCACAGTAAGACCGGGTCCTCAAGGTCAGTCTAGGCTCACATCCAGGTCCACACAGTCAGGTCGTTTACATGCACAGTTTAATTGGATTAAGCTCATAATTTGTTTTTTCACCAAATCAGACTTCTCTCCTTGTCCTCGTAAACATGCAGCTGAGAGAACTGAATTATTGACGTGAACGTGTCCTCCTCCCCAAAGCTAGGGGGCGATACATACAACCTTCAACAACAACAACAACAACAGCAGGTCGGTGTCAGACGTCAGAAGTGTCTACAACTGCTGCTGGACATTTTGGAGAAACAAGAAGATGGAGCATCGTACAGCGTTGTTTTTGTCCGACATGATGGACGCGCTACTTTTTCTGAAGATGAGACTAATGCTACTCCTCTACTCTGGAAGAGAGAAAATCGAATTCCAATCACATTATCTGGGTGTCTTCATCGGAGTTCAACGACTCCAATTGGAGTTGTCCAGTCTTAATCGGAGTAAGGCGATAATTCGGTTTTCTCGAGTGTCATGTAAACGTACTGACTGAGTCTAGAAACAGACATGTGTATTAAAGAGGGCTTGACTTTGTCCTGACTTGAACTTTTCCCGGGGACTTGTTTGTACTTTGACTCGAATAATGAGGACTCAGGACTTCACACGGACTTTAACTCTGCTGCAGACAGAAGACAGAGGATTACATAGAAATCGGTTGTAGCGGCTGAATAAAGGAGAAGGTCTGAGTTGGAGGTCGTCAGTAAAAGCCCAGAGACATAAACAGATGGGTCCAGGCTCGAGGCTGAGACAGAATCAGCTGACTGTTCAGTAAAAGGTTCGCGTTTATCATCATGTCCCTGTTCTAGAGTTTATCTGCTGAATCAGTCCGTCTCCTCTCTTCTACTCGACCCCCCACAGACCCGCTTCAGCGTCTTCTCCCAGATCTTTCGCCAGTGTCCTCCATCTTCTCCACGACTCCCTTTTCCTCCTCTGTGCAGTCCTCCCCTCTCCTCCCCTCTCCTCCCCTCTCCTCTCCTCCCTCACAGACAGGGAGAACCAGCAGTGACCGTCTGTTTCCAGCTGCTCACTGTTTGAACTGGCTGCTTCATCACAGATCCTCTATCTCTTCTCAAGGAGAGCGACAGCAGCCGCACAGCAGCGGAACACGCATACACAGCTTCACGTAGAGATAGATACACTAGAACTCTCTCCTCTGAACCTTATTAAGTTTTTTAACTCCCTCCTGAAAAAGCAGATTCAGTTTTTCATCCCCCCTGAGCAGACAGATGTCTTTAGTTAAAAACACAACTTTTTAAACCTGAAGGAGTCGGATTATTCTGCTCAGAGCTGCAGCGTTTGCTCTCTGTTTCGGCTGTCAGGAAAATAATTCACTCAAGAGCTTCAATTCAGATCAAACTGTAAAAATATTCAGAGGTTTGTGATTGCTGGGTGAAATGTTTACATGATAAAAAGAGTGGGTATCTAATCCTTTCAGAGCTCAGTTCTCGTTTTAATCAGATAAAGTAGACGGCGTGTTTTCATCTCTTCAGTGCGTCACCGTTTCTTTATGAATTCAGTGAAGGGAGGCTGACCTTGCTGCAGCGGGGATGGCATTGAAATTGTTCTTGCAGTACGCTCACACACTTGGCCCGCTGCAGATAAAGTTACCTCCTCCCTGTTGCTTTGGCAACAACACTTTCCCCCAACATGGTGACTGCCAGGAGCTGAAGACACAGAACAGCTCCATACAAGTACCGAACCCTTTTCCCTCACCAGCACTTCTTCAGAGGAGACGAAGATCTACCAGAGTACCAGTCTGTGACGGAGACTCTGCATTCATGTCCAATAATATCATCAGATGCTTTTTACTTATGATGCATCACAGGAACTTCTTGTCCTCAAAGGTCGCTGTTGTTTCACTGAAGGTAGCGTTCAGTGAAGAATCCCATTCCCAACCAAGTCCTACTGCTTAAATTTACAGTTTATTATCCTCAAAAAAGGGTCAGTTCCATACAGGACTAATATATGTAAGCTGGCTGCTCTAAAATCAGACTACCACAGGTCTAAAAATGAAACTTTTCAGATGTCTAAATTTAGACCGAGTTTAGACTGGCCAGCTAACAGAGGTCTACCAGTATATCGCTCAACGGCTATCATAATTATTTTGGTTAAATACTTGGAGATCAGTTATGAAACTCACAGTTGCTTTTTGAAATAAATAGTTATCAAATAGTGGGTAAAAGTGTCTAAATTCCGTCTACAGATATACAGAATCTAGACGGTTGAAATTAGGTCTAAAACAGAACTAGACGTCTAATAGCTGTCTATTGCTCAGTGGGGAGATGATCATGTACTAGTTTTACAAGGATGATATAGGGCTGAGCAATAAAGTTCATATTCATTGTGGTATGTGTGCACCAGAAGCAACCAGCTTGGACACATCTGGAGTCTGTAGGGACACTGCAGAGAAAAATGTGTCATGCCTAGGGCTCGGAAATAAACGAAAATTTACCGATACCAAAATTCACGACGATAACCGACGTCATTTTGCCCACATCAATATATTCAGTGTCAAATAAATAAATAAATCAAAGTTGTTTTTGGATGTGTGTAGGTAGGCTATGGTCTCATGTCCCTTTAAGACGCTGTCCTACATCAGAGACGTGACTCCACCCCATCCAGTCTGTAACAAAGAGGGAAAGACAGGTGAGGAGATGGAGGACGGTTCAAAAGTTGGAGCGGCTGAAGTAGACGAAGTTAATGTGGGAGGGGGTGAGCAGGTTGTGGAGGAGTTATCGTCCATTTTCCGTTATCGAGGTGAACTGATCAATATATCGTGATATTGATTTGAGGCCATATCGCCCAGCCCTAGGATAACAGCAGCTTTTCTGTTCCTGATTTTTGTTATTAAATTGGAAAGAAAAGGTGAAAGTAAAAGGTTAAAAAATATGAAATCTGCCATAAAAATCCAGATTAAAACTTCTGTGATCATGTGCGTAAATCTGAATATGTTTTTGATTTCAGACTGACACATTTATATCTACACACAGTTATTTCTCCACCACAAACCCGCTCTGTTTCACTGTTTACATTCATATGATTGAATGTTTTTACAGTCTGACCAGTTTTGTCACATTTCCCTCCTCTTTACGGGGGATTCACCGTCGAACTCCCTGGATGTCGTGGAAAAGTTGACGCGGTTCGTACTTTGTTTACTTCAGATGTGTTGTTTACGGCACAAACAGATGTCTCTGATTCGGTTGCCTCTCCTCCTCCTCCTCCTCCGTCTCTGTTTATCACTCCTTACACACTATTAAATCTCAGAGACCGTTCTTCATGATATCAGAAACAGGTGTTTGTTCTCCAGCTAAAACTCAATACTAATAAACGTGGCTGAGACTGAACCGGTTTAACAAGACAAGGAAACTGACTCTCAGATCCTTTAGAGAGGCATATATGTAAAAAACAGGGATAACAGATGTGTGTAAGTCACACTCTTGGCTAAAGTCTGATTAGAAACATTTGCAGAGTAATATTTATGTGATTCCTCTCTACTCAAAAAAAGCATCACTTCCTGAAATATGTTTCAGTTTCAGGGTCAAACTAGAACGCTAAGATCCGATCAGACCACTTCAAGAACTCTAACAATAAATATAAACAATGAAGAGCTTTATTTCTGCTCTGTCTCATGTTTTATTGGGAGTTTGACGTGCGCTGTTACTGGCATCTGAACTGGAGTGGAACAAAAGGGGATGGTTTTAAAGCAGAGCAGATGGAAAGAGTGATGAATTGTAGAAAAATAGAATTATTAGAGAACAACTGGAAAAAGTGGAGGTGCTTTATCTCAGACATCACTCTGTCAGTGACTTTCTTTCAATAAATCAAAGAATAATTGATCACAAATCTGTCTGAATGAAACTTTATCGCCTGTTCTTGGTAAACCAAAGAAAGTTTTGATCTCTCTCCAACACTGGATATTAAAACCATCGGGCTGTGCATGTTTACGCCTTCAAAAGGTGACATTCATCTAGGGCTGGATGATAAAACGAAAATTTACCGATACAGAAATTTACAATGATAACCGACGTCATTTTGCCAATATCGGTATATTTGATGTCAAAAGAATCAATAAATCAATAAAGTTGGTTTTGGATGTGTGTAGGTAGGCTATGGTCTCATGTCCCTTTAAGACACTGTCCTACGTCTTAAAGGGACGTCTTGTAGCGACTGAAGTAGACGAAGTTAATGTGGGAGGGGGTGAGCAGCTTGTGGAGTAGTTAACGTCTATTTATCAATATCAAGGTGAACTGATCAATATATCGTAGTGATTGATTTAAGGCCATATCGCCCAGCCCTACATTCATCCCTCGTAAGAATTGGTAAACCAAACAACCACCTTGACGTCCCTGTTGAAGTGCTTAAAACTGCAGTTCCTCAGTTGTCCACTTGAGGCTGTCTTCTAAATCTCTGGAGCCACAAACACCAAACTCTGCAGCAAAAATAAACATGTTCACAAAATACTGTTGTGAGTCAGTGTGGAGGCTAAAATTTTAACCCTTACGCCAGAATTAGATTAAAGTCAAAATTTGGAAACGCTGTCAGCAGGAAATCAGAAACCAGTGGGTGAGAATACGTCCAAGTTTTACAGCTGAGCGTATCAAAAGAAAAAAAAGGATGCTACCTGTCACAAAACTCAGACTCACTTCTGCCAGGACCTCTTAATGTCAATGAGAATTACTTATTTGTAGGGACGTAACGTTATGGATGGATGTGTCATTATAAACTCTTTCTTTGCTGTCAAATAAAACTCTTTTCAAACTGTGAACGTCTTCATTGTCAGTTTATTCTGGTAAAGTGTGTCAGTGTTTAAGTGTCAGAGTCTTTACACGAGTGTCGGTCACTTACTGAGCCGCAGACATGATGTGGAGCAGCTGTTCAAAGGCCCTGATGTTTCTTTTTTATGGTTTTGGACATGAAGTAAACCGTTATATTCTAAAATTTATGAAAAAGTAGGACAAGAAACTGTTTGGTTGCAGATTTACCTCCTAAACATTTTTATACAAAGTGTTTTAATTCAATATTAAATCTAAATTTACTCCGGTTGCAGAATACCGTGTAAAGAGAGTTTGAATGAGCATCAAACACCTGTTTTCACTTCCAGATGGTCGTGAATGTCCGTTTCAGAGGACATGAGAGCGTGTGTGCCGGGCGCTGACAGACAGACCAACTGTTGGAGTGTGGGAAACCTACGAAAGAGCTTTAATAAAACTTAATGACACAGACTGAATTAGATTATCATGCTTTCTAACACACACTCTCTCTCTCTCTCTCTCTCTCTCTCTGCTTCAGGGCTCCATTCAGCAGCTGCTGATCAAGTCCGATCCCACGGCCCCGGATGACCAGTGTGAAGAGGACGATCCCTATGTGAGTGTGAATGAAACGCACACAGACACACACTTTAATGACTTCATTAAGAGCGAGCAGACCAAACATGGAAGTTTTCCTCCCTCTAGTGGTGTAAAAAGTGAACTACATACACGTTTAGAAACATTATGACACAAATAAAAGAGGGAAATCTCTTAAATCAACAACTTAAATCAGTCTTTAGATTTTAAACCGTCACCATCTGTGCTCCAAACTTCATACAGTAACAAAATAATCAAATTATTTTGGGTTTTTCTGATGTTTAAGGATAAATACTTTACATATGGAGCCGATCAAAAGTCCAATTCTTCGTTAAGTTGAAAATAATCACTGTTTTCGTCCAGATTAGATATCTATTACTCTGTTCCTAGCGTTGTTTGGCATTAATCATCTCTGAAATCTGTTGTTTTTAGAGCGAAAGTTGAGCTATAAACAGCATAATCAGTGTCAGGACAGAAACTGTGGGAAAACAAACACTAAGTACCCAACAGTCTCTTTTATTAAACGGGCGTAACAGCTTTTTTGGCAACTTTCCTCATTTGGCTTTCTAATTGTGCCGCTCGGAGGGAGCTTTTAATCATTTCTGTCTCTGTTTATCTTCTCACTCCTCTCCTTTTTTGTCTCCAGGCGTCTGGATACGGAAGCGGTGATGATGAGTATGAAGACATGGAGGGCAGAGACGAAGTGAAGAAGATTGTGGAGGAGAGAGAGTATACCATGGTGCGTATGTGTGTGTGACTCACACACACCACACTTTATCCCTCAGTCCTCTGTTCACGTTCAGCTGGGTTGGACTCGGACCAAAGAAAACAGTTCTTATCCTTCCAGGCCTGCAGGAGACTGGAACATGGTGATATGAGCGACTCCCTGCCAGCTCTGCGCTCTCTGGAAAAGTAGAAATAAGGGCAACAGAACAGACACAGAGTAGAAAGAGCATTACATGACTTTATTACCCTGTTTCCAAATTAAGAGGACAAGCTCTCAGCTGTTGTAGACTCACTTCTGATTGGTCTGAACTCCATTACAGGGTGTTTATTACAACCGCAGGCTCGCTCACCCTGTTGGGTCCATAATTTGAATGTTGTCTCTTATTTGTTAACTGATTTTTACTGATAATTCAAGAAGATTGGAACCAGCTGGAAAGGTAGAAAGAAACGAAATCAAGTCCAGGTCCTCTCAACCAATCAGAGGAGAGTGTTAATCCCCTTTAAAGCATTTAAAGGTGACTATATCACCACACTGGAGCTGGCTTTTGAGAGCTTTTTGGTACTTTTACATCTAAAACTTTTAAAACTTAATATAGGCCAGGCGAGAGATATAATCCCTCCACCTGGTCCTGGACCGGCCACCAGGTCTCCTCCCGGTGGGACATGTCTGGAACACCTCTAACGGGAGGCGTCCAGAAGGCGTCCTAACCAGATGCCCGAGCCACCTCAGCTGACTCCTCTCGACGTGGAGGAGCAGCGGTTCGACTCTGAGCGCCTCCCGAGTGTTTCTAAGGCTGAGCCCGGACACCCTGCGAAGGAAACCCATTCGGCCGCTTGTATCTGTGATCTCGTTCTTTCGGTCATTACCCAAAGTTCATGACCATAGGTGAGGATCGGCACGTCCAAAATTCTCACTTGCATAAAGAAATCCAACAAACAAGTCCCACGAATGAAACCGTGCAAAATCGATGATTTCTTCACCTCTTCTTTAATGTTCAGAGAATCTTTGATATCACATACTGACACTAGGTGGTGCTATCCAGATAAATTACAGCCTTTCGTCACTGAGGCTCCCTTACGTTTTGGATACATTAGCCTCATAAAAAAGGTTTTTAATGCCAAGTTAAGTCCTTAAATTCAGACTCTGTGGACAGTACGGTCTTTGTCACTGAGATTTGGAAACATGATTCGTATCTCAGATTCTTGACAGCTCACATTTGACCTTTTGTAGCTCTTTTTAGTCCCCGCTGATGTCCACAAATAACTCACAAACAGGGCAGTGGGACATGAGGTCAAAGATGTCATCACCCCGGATGATTATTAACTAAAAAAAGAGGAATAATGTTGATGCGCTGCAGCGGTGTGAGTCAACTTTGTGCGATGTGAGGAATGTTTGAGTCTGTCTGACACGGCTGTTGGATCCGATCGGAGGGAAAACATTTCCTGCCATCTGTGGGAGTCACTTCGCTCTGTTATGTCGAGTCTTAAAAAGGGAGCTGTGTGTGCAGTTTAAAAGCTGTGATGTTGACAGTGTAAACAACTCTTCTGTTGCATGAATCATATAAAACATGCAGAATAAACACATGGAAGCTCAGAGATGATGCACCTAACTTACTTTTATTGACATTAAACTGCAAATGATAAAAACATTGTTGTCATGCTTCCTGGTGACTGAATTTGTTGTTTTTTTTTCAGCCCCTCCCAGAGCTGGACCCCACCTACAGCAGCCCTGTCCGAGCTCCGCCCACTGAGACGTCGCCGTTTGATGATGAAGATACAGAAGAGACTTCAGGACAGGAGGCGGAGACGACCACGGTGAGAGGTGAGAACAACAGACTTTATTTACTTTATCAGAGCTCAGGGGGTTAAAAAAATAATTTAAAATCTTCCTTTTTTTTAACTCACTGGTGTTTATTTGACATGTTTACTCACACTGTAAGGGTGTAGTCCCTAACTCACCAGCAGATGGTGCTGCAGCAGACAGATCAGCTGCTCCTTTATCGTCCTCTGCTTGTTTTTACATCCCAGTACATCACGATATAAATGATCAGTCTGTCTGCTGTCACCTTTATGGTCATAATATTGACTCTTTATCTTATTTTTAACTGAACCTATAATTTCACTTTTGTTCTCACAGCGAAATCCTTCAGGACAGATCCTCCTGCCTCTGCTCCTGACTCTGTAAGTAACGATTAGGTGACATTATTGAGCGTTATTGAACATTTCACTGATTTAAAATCTCGCCTGATCACATTTTTTATCATTATTGATATTATATAAATTAGTTTTTTGTTCATTTATAGTTTATTTTAATGCAAAATTTACAAAACATATTCCAGGAGTCGTTTTATTGAATCTATGAGAGAAGAAAAAGCAGAAATATTGAAAATCAAAGAAGTGGATTGGTGTAAATTAAAAAAAGAGAAACTCCATGAATGAGTGAATCTCTGAATGAATGAACTGTTTTGTTTTTCACCTTCAGTACCAGCAAGTGTCTCCTGGACAGAAAGGGGAGCGTGGTGAACCAGGTCCATCCGGTCCATCCGGTCCTCCAGGACCTCCCGGCCCTCCAGGACAGGGTTCAGGAGACGGTCAAGGAGGAGAGCCGGGACCTCGGGGTCCACAGGGACCACAGGGACCTGCGGGCACACCTGGACTTCCAGGGAAAGATGGACAGCCGGTGAGTTCAGTGTTCTTCACGTGTGTTGTTTAGATGTCCTACTTTATAGATATGTAGCTCTAGAAGCTGCTCAGAGCGACTCTGCATGTAGGTCAGTCCTGAAGTTGAAATGTTTTCTCTCTCCAGGGAAGTAAAGGTGAAGACGGCGTCCCTGTAAGTAAGATCTTTGCAGTCTGGCAGATTTATAGTCATGCTTATATGTGTGTGTGTGTGTGTGTGTGTGTGTGTGTGTGTGTGTGTGTGTGTGTGTGTGTGTGTGTGTGTGTGTGTGTGTGTGTGTGTGTGTGTCGGCTGTTTTTAGTCTGTGTGTGTAAAACCAGGGCAGGAATGAACCCACATCCAGATCTAGATAAGATGGTCTACATATTAGATTACAGAAAACTCTGAATCTGTGATCCGGACAGGTTCTGGTCTCAGATCTGTTATCAGACAAAGTTCTGGTTTGGCTTCATTCCTGCTCCGAGTTCTCTGTCGAACATTTACTCTAACATGTTATTGAACGCAGCTGTAACTCTGCTTTTCCAGGGGGTGACTGGGATTCCAGGATTCCCAGGACTGCAGGGAGAGCCTGGCCTAAAAGGAGAGAAGGTAAACAACGACTTACTTTGACATCGAGACACCTGGAAGTGATTGTCAGACCTCTATAAACATCTCTCTGTTGTTCCTCTTTAAGGGTGATCCTGGTGTGGGACTTCCAGGTCTTCCAGGCCCTCCTGGACCTCCAGGCCAAGCTACCAAGTTGCCAAGATTCCTGGTAGGTTTCCGATGAGTAATGACTAAAAAAAAGAAATAATTTGACTGAAATAACTGATGTTTTGTTGTCTCCATCCATCTATCAGGAGGGATCCGGGTTTGAAGACTTCGACAGTGACGCAGAGATTCTCAGGGTAAGTTTTTTCTTTTGGGATCAGGATGATTTAAAGCTCAGACTTTCAGTCTTCATCTTTGAACTTTGTCTCGTGTCATCAGGGGCCGCCGGGACTTCCAGGGCCACCAGGACAACCAGGGCCCCCAGGAACCTCATCTGAGGACGTGTTCCCTGGACCACCCGGGGCTCCTGGGAGAGACGGGAAGGATGGAGAGAGGGGCGAACCTGGACTACCAGTGAGTTTAACATGAAACATGAAGTTTTTAACAAAATTAATCAAGCCGTTAAAATCATACGGCAACGTTTTCATCAGGAAACTCAAATCATATCTTTAAGTCCAAGTTTGCAAATCAGACAGGAGTCTGAGAAATTCTCATAAATGTGTTTCTGAATGACTGTAAATTAAAAAAATGATACGTGAGAAAATAAAGAGGAGAGTCGAGTCACGTTTGAAGTTATAAGAGCATATTTAATCACATTAAAGGGGAAGTTAGCTAGCTAAATGAAGTGGTCAAGGCTAAGTTTGCGAGCTAAGAATAATGTTAATTTCCTAACACGTGCGTGGGGCTAGGCTGACGTTAGCTTGCTAGCTAGAGGTAAAATTAGTGAGATAACAGTTATTTTAGGAAGCCTCAAATAAGCGTCTATCAGCGAGAAACTATGTTTGATCCAATTGTGTCAGATTTGGCGCCCCCTGTGGACAAAGAAGGATTCGCTTGTCAGGTCCTTTACATCTCATTCAGAGTAACATTACACATGGAAATAGTCGAAACAGGGTCTATTCCTTAGCTGCCAAGCTGACACCTCCCCCCTTCCCCAGTTTCAAGTACCAGAAATTAAGATCTAGAAAACTTAAATCTTGTTTCTGATGTTTATTTGTTGTTTTCAGATATCATTAAAAGGCAGAAATAAAAACTTCAGTCCATTTATGAACATTAAAAAACTCCTTACAGGAGCTTTAAGCTTTTGTAAGTGATATTTAATCCAAGTAGAAACTTGATCGATGGCCCCATGTCCTCCAATTTCTGATTTGAATCTAAAACTGAGTTTGAGTTTGTTTGTTTTTTCGTCTGAAGAGATTTTCACAGGTAAATAAAATCCTTGTACATGAACTTATTTCTGACCGAGGTTTTGTTCACAGGTGATTATGGACTGGTTTAGTGGCTCAGCTTTTGGGTCTGGCTCTGGTTCAGGGTCTGGTTCTGGTTCAGGGTCTGGTCAGGTATTACATTTTGCCCCTTCAGATCTGAGGGGCTGAAAAGACAGAATTTCCCTCGACTCTCTTCAGAGCATCCATGTTCTCCCGCCGCTTTCCTGCCGCTGCTTTCACCACAGGGTTTCTCAGTGTTTGTGAACTAACTCATGAATATTAAAGCTCCAATAAAAGGAGTCGATAAAGTCGGATCTTCACGACACTTTGGCAGAAACTATCAGCTTCTGAACATGGTCAGCTGTCGGGGGAAATGTGTCTTTTGTCTTTGAAACGCTGGACGCTTTACTAACTTATGAGAGTGAGTCATCGTCACAGGATCTCAGTTTGGAGGATCATTTAGAGCTTACAGTCTTTGGTCTTGTTCTAACTGAGCAGCATTGAACTCCAGCTGTGAGGAGAAGAGCTCTGTGCGTCTCAAAGTCGGGTTTTACTCTTTCAGGGAGTCGATGGAAAAGACGGAGATCCTGGTCCTGCTGGGGCGAAAGGAGACAAGGTGAGTCCAAATCAAACAAACCCGTCCACTTTTGACTGTAAATCTGAGAAAATCGGCTTTTAAATTCCTGCAGCAGGATTCACTCTTACACTCTGTGTGTGTGTGTGTGTGTGTGTGTGTGTGTGTGTGTGTGTGTGTGCGCTCCCTCTGATTTCCCCCGAGCACGCCTCTTAGTGCTCTGTTAGCAGAAATAATTACCCACCGACTGAATAACCAGCTAACACACAGAGCTAAGCTGTTAATAAGGAGACCCCTGTGGGCTAATAAAGCTAAAGGCTGTAAGAGAATAAACAACTCTGTGTTTTTTAATAACTGCTCTCAACCACCATTCAGATTCACTCTCCACTCATTTTATTGGATTTGTGTTTTAACAGGGAGAGCCTGGAGCGAGCGGGCGGCCCGGGGCCAAGGTGAGTTTTTACTCCATCACTGTTTCTGGTTTTTGACTTTTGCTTCATTAGTTGTTTTTAAATTGAAAAAACAAATGTTTTTCAGGGAGATCAAGGTCCTGCAGGGTTTCCAGGTCTACCAGGCTCAGATGGTCCACAAGGGCCAGATGGTCACAGGGGTCAACCTGGTCCTCCTGGGCCTCCAGGTCCCCCTGGAAAAGGATACGCCTTTGACTTTGAGGTAGAGCATGACACATGAAACCCAAAACCATCAAATCTGATCACAAGAGCTCTTCATTTTAAGTTTATCTTTGTCGTGTTTTAGGACTTGGAAGGGTCCGGGGTGCTGAGTGGTCTCGGAGCAGTGCCCTCTAAAGGTCCACAGGTAAAACTGCGTCTCATTTTATCATGATCATGTCTGTATTTTGCTTTAAAGTCATGAAACAGTTTCTCTGTCCTCCATGATTGAGTTTCCTGTGTCTCTTAAACAGGGTCCTCCTGGTCTCCCTGGACTCAGAGGACCTGAGGTGAGACCTGCATGTTTGCTAACATGAGCTCGTTTTGTCTCTAGATTAGATTTCCACTTTCACTCTGTGTTCCTGTTAGATTAGAGCTTTACATGATGTGGAAGAGGAAAAGTTACAGAAAAAAAACACCTTTTGTTTGTTTATTTTACTCTCGAATCGACAAAAACTGACAAATTCTACAGAAGTGTACGCTGAGGTTAAAAACGTAGGTAAGTGATTCTGATTCTAACTTTATTTTTCTCTTTATTTGTCCTTTAAAGGGTAAAGATGGTGAAAACGGCGTCCCAGGAAAACCCGGGGAAAAGGTGAGAGTGACTGTCGAGGGTTAATTTTTTATCAACCCAACATGTTTCTCAACAGTGAAGTGATGGTAAAAGGAGGAACATCTTCCAGCTTAACTGGTTTAATCAGCAGCAGGTTATTAACATGACAGGGGAAAGACTTTTATATCCTGGTACAGACCCAGGCTCATTTAAGAGGGACTGAGGCAGACCGTCCTGTGGTCTGATGATCCAGATTTGACCTTTTTTGGAAATCATGGACGAGTAAAATGAAGAGTAACAGTGTTGACGTCTGTGAGTGATGAATGTGTCTCTGCTGCGTCTGCAGGGCGAGCCTGGTATCATCGGACGACCAGGGTTTCCAGGACTGGAGGGACTTAAAGGGGCGGAGGTCAGTTCACCTACAGAAGTCTTCGACCAGACGGCGATCAATCAGCTGATTTAAGAAAACAACGGCAGCTGAAAACCCTGATTTGACTTTGTCTCATCTTTGTTCTCCTGCAGGGACAAAAGGGGGACAAAGGAGATTCAGGACAAAAGGGAGAAGCAGGACGGGATGGCGTTGGTCTTCCAGGCCCTCCTGGACCACCAGGACCGGTCATCAACCTCCAGGATGTAAGTGACTCTGCAGAAACAGCCTGATCCGTCTGATCCTGGTCTCAGCGTGTTTGATCACTCTTGTTTCCTTCACCAGCTGATGCTGAACGATACAGATGGCGCCTTCAACTTCTCAGGGATTTTTGAAGCTCAGGGAGTCGCTGTGAGTATCAAACCGCCAACATGAGGGTGAAAAAAACAGGAAGTGTGTTTGGATAGATGTAGCTGCTGAGTGGAGCAGGTGTTCGCTCTCTCAGTGTCAGGGTTCGTGTTGTAAACAGAAACAAACATCAGGATACAAACAAACTGAAATATCTGTTTAGTTTACGAGTTTTCATGACGGGTTCGAATCGTTCACAGGGTCAGAAGGGGGACATGGGTTCACCGGGAATACGAGGACCTCCAGGACTGAAAGTAAGTCCAAGACCACATAGATCTGTTCGCTTAGAGCGCCCGTTTGATTTTACAGAGATGAAAACGATGTCTTTGCGTGTTCCTCCATCTACGTTTGGTTTTGTTGATCTCTCGTGTGTGTGTGTGTGTGTGTGTGTGTGTGTGTGTGTGTGTGTGTGTGTGTGTGTGTGTGTGTGTGTGTGCAGGGTGAAAAAGGTGAGCCTGGATTCGTCATCGCTGCAGACGGATCCACGATATCAGGCCTGGCTGGACCCAAAGGAGACAAGGTCAGATTTGTCGTCACTTTCTTATGCTGCAAACACTAACGCTGTGTCCGAGTCACCTCAGAGGTCAGATGTCTGAGCTTGGAATGACGTGACGACCGAGTTCCCAGTGTTTCAGCTGCCAAGACGGGAAAAAAGCAAAATCGTAGGCGGAAACAAGATGGCTACATCTACAAAAGGAGATGCTAAAATAACTTTCGTAGATGTACCCATCTTGTTTCCGCCTCTGATTTTGCTTTTTTCCGTCCTGGTAACTGAAACACTTGGAACTCGGTCGTCACGTCATTCCCAGTTTAGACATCTGACCTCTGAGGTAACTGGAACGCAGCATAACACCTGAGGATTAACGTGCTTAAAGTAAAAGTCTTTGAAAAGCTTCTTAGTTGAAGTGTATCAGTCAGTGAAAAGGTGTGTCTGTGTTTTCAGGATTAACGTACTTTGACTTAAAGGTGTCTGTAAAAGTGAAAAGGTGTGTCTGTGTTTTCAGGGTGAATCTGGTGTAACCGGCCCTCCCGGAGTCTCAGTAAGTTTTCACTAAAGTTCCTTTTAAAGGTTTTTGCATCAGTTTCCTGATTTCGTTCTTTCAGTAAATTTGTCGTTGTTTCCGTCAGGGGCCGATCGGACCATCAGGACCGAAAGGAGAATTCGGCTTCCCTGGAAGACCGGTGAGCAACATGAACTGAACTGTACTTTTTAAAATCGAGTCAAACTTCCTGTTTTCGAGTTTGTCTGATGACTGTTGTGATTTCAGGGTCGTCCAGGTCACATGGGACTCAAAGGAGAGAAAGGGGATCCTGCAGGGCAGCCTGTGAGTCACAGCTGATCTCTGTTTACATTGAAACTCTGTGAGGATGAAAACTGTAAATAAAAAAGTGACGTCGTCTTTGACTCACCGTCGGATCTTTCTCTTTCAGGGTCCTCCTGGTCCTCCTGGACCGCCGGGCCGCCCAGGGATGTTTAACTGCCCCAAAGGAGTACGTTCTTATAAACACACTTGAACTCGCTCTTATTTACTGTCTCTGATTTTACTCACAGTCCACTCTTCTTCTCTGGTTTCCACAGACCGTGTTCCCCGTCCCACCGAGACCTCACTGTAAAATGGCGGTAAGTTTCAGTCAGGATGAAACGACACGTCTTTAATTTTCTCATTAACAAAACACTCATTAAAACATGCCTGTCTCACACTAACCCTCCTTTACTCCGCCTCTTTCATACACCCATTTTCTCTTCTTCTTCTTCTTCGTTGGTGCACAGACAGTTTCCATCCTCTCCTCTGTAACGCCGCTGCTTCCTAACCTTCTCTCACCCAGAACTCCTCCAGATTGTCTCTTAAATACTCCTGCTCGCTGCATGTCCGCTCTGGGAAGGTGAGGGCTCACTGCCAAAACAGAAATGAGGTATCAGTTTAACCCCGCCCACAAATAACCTGCACGTGTCATTGGCTTGTTGATCATGATATTAACCCTGAAGATCAGAGAGTTTGATAAAAATTGATGAATTCAGATATTTTCTGACCTCTGACCTCTGTCTTTGTTTTTTCAGCTTAATCCAGATGGAACCGTAGCAGCAGGTAGGCGCCATGTTTGATCATTAAACATTATAATTTGATAATTGATTTATTGATTTCGGCCCTTTGAGACCTACAGCTGCATAAAAACCAAAATTTTAAGATAGAAATGTGAAAGAAAGACGTTAAACCTTTGGATTAAACTTCAGTCATCGTGAAAGTGCAGTTCCTCCAGTGTCCACTTGAGGCTGATTCCAAAAGACATGGAAACCCCATTAGGACTCATTTAAAGAGGTTTATTTATAAAGCTAAAAATAAACATGTTTACAGTCTGGTTAAAGTCACAGTGTCAGGAGGTCTTCAGAAGGTCGTCAGAGCGAGTATTTCCAACGTCTCGACCGCCATCTTTGTGCTTCATGAACTTTGAAAACTGACGGACGACCACACAGACACTAACCCCCCTCTTCTCCTCTGTAAGGTAACTGTCAAAATGGACCAAAAGGAGAAAAAGGAGAGAGAGGCCTTCCTGGGTCACCGGCACCACAGAGTGAGTCAGAACTTCACCAGAATCAAACCCTGTCCCGTCTCTGAGCGTCTGATGAATTTAAAGCTCTTATCTAATCTTGATCTCCTCTCTCTCTCTCTTTCTGTCGTTCGTCTTTGTTTCAGACTCGTTTCTGCCCAGAGGAGGATGGGTGAGTCTCGTTTAAAGTTTCTCCTCTGAGGTTCTGGCTCTGTCTGCTTTTAGACTCAGGTTTTTATACGTCCTTCTGTCTGTACGTGAAATCACAGGGAGCGAGAGGAGACCAGGGCTTTAAAGGAGAGAAGGGAGACAAAGGAGACGAAGGGTTTCCAGGGCAACCGGGTATCCCAGGGAGACCGGGTCCTGTGGTGAGTCTGCGGATTCAGAGTTTCTTCTTTATTTCAGAAAACGTCTCAAGGTCATTAATTAACTCTCCTCGTTATGTTTCAGGGACCTAAAGGAGAGTCGGTACTCGGTCCACAAGGACCTCCTGGTGTGCCGGGTTCACCTGGTTCCCCAGGTTATGGCAGACCGGGACCGGTTGGTCCTCCTGGACCACCAGGACCCCCAGGACTGCCGGGATCATCCTCAAGATACGGTTCAGGTACAAACTGTCAGTCATGTCTAAGAGTCTAAGAGGGAAACAGTCTGTGTTTGTGAAGACTGTTTATAGACTGTCACGGTTCTGTCATAGCAGTGACTATTGCTGGACCCCAAGGACCCCCTGGACCCCCTGGACCACCTGGAGCTTCGGGTAACGCAGCTTCTGTAAGTGTTCAGGCTGTAGTTCTACACAACATGTAAAAAATACACCAGATAGTTCCTGAGAGAGATCTTCATTTTTTTCCTTCTTCTCTGTTTTAAAGCTGAGGACCTTCACAACCCGGGAGATCATGATGCAGCACACGGTCCGGGATGCGGAGGGGACTCTGGCGTACGTCACAGGAACAGGAAGTCTGTTCCTCAAAGTTTCATCGGGATGGAAAGAGATTCAGGTACGAAGACGAAGACGAGGTTTACATGTTTGAGGTTTATGTCCGTCTGAAAATAGAGATGTTTGTTAAGGATGAACTGATGCTGAGATCTCAACAGATTCAGACCCAACATCTGACAGAAGTAGACACGATCAGTCAGAGATGATCACTGGGAAAATACTCCAAACTGATAAAACTGAAGCGTGTGTCGACAGTTGATCCAGCAGATTATAAAAAAGACTCTCCTTTTGAAGTTTGACTCCTCTGGTCATAAAAAGTTCATCCTGTGAAGCTGTTGTGTCATTTTTTCTCAATTTTTCTTTTTGTTAAATGTGAAATATGAGGCCAACATGATCTCGAGTCAGAAAACACGATGAATGTTTTTCACATTTGAGTCGTTTCTGTTCCTCTGCAGCTCGGCAGCCTCATCTACCTCTCCAATAACATCATCCCACAAGATGAGGTACTTCTTCTTCTTCTTCTTCTTCTAATGTGTTTTTTTTTTTTTGTTTATCTGCTCAGTTAAAAATGATTTTGTTGAATGTTTTCTGTTTTCAGCCTCGAGTTGCGTATCAGACAAGAGGAGACACCACGGAGAGAGTGCGCTCACGAACAGAGAGGGTGAGTGTCGGCGAGTCTTCGTCGTTTTGAAGAACAGAAATACTTTCATCGATTTTAGCAAACGTGGATTTTAACGAGAATGATCGTGTTCCTTCTCTAGCTCAACCTGGTGGCTTTAAACCAACCGCACTCAGGCGACATGATGGGACTCGACACGGCCGACCGCATGTGCTACGAGCAGGCGAAGGCGATGGGTTTACCGACCAACTACCGCGCCTTCATTTCCTCCCACAGACAAGACCTGGTCCATGTGGTCTACCCCGGTTTCAGGGAAACTCTGCCGGTCACCAACCTCAGGGTGAGTCCGCTTCTCTGCTGATTCCCGGACTCCACGTCTCCGCCGCCTCTTCCTCCTCCGTCTAACCTGCTTCTTTCTGTCGTCTTTCAGGGAGACATCATGTTCAGGAACTGGCGGTCAATCTTTAACGGCGAAGGAGGACCGATCAGGTCCAGGATACCCATCTACTCCTTTGACGGGCGGGATGTTTTAGCCGACCCCTTCTGGTCAGTAACTCGACCTTCCTCCCGTCTGTGTTCTGTCTGTTTTCTGTCTGTTTTCTGTCTGTTTTTTGTCTTTCTGATGAAAACTTTAAAATATTTTCTTTCCTGATCGTTTTGGTTCCTCAGGCCTCAGAAGAGCATCTGGCACGGCTCCACCGCCGGGGGTCTGCGGGTGTTGGACAAACACTGTGAGACGTGGCGGGCCGACCACGTGTCCGTCATGGGCCAGTCGTCGAGCCTGACCTCGGGTCTGCTCCTGGGCCAGCAGACGCGTAGCTGTTCTAACCAGTACATCGTTCTTTGCATCGAGACCCACAAAACCCATTAAACCCCCAAAACCACTCCACCCAAGAGCCCACCAGGGTCCCTTTGAGCGTCCAAACTCAGAGACTCTAAATGACTTTCTTGGAAGAAGAACGTTGACGGTGCTATGTGTAGCATTTTGTGGTTTGTTAAAGACACGGAAGATCCTAACGCCTCTTATTCGCCGCCATCTTCAGCGTGACTTTCTGAGGAGTGAGGCGGTAAAGAGGCGGTCAAAACTCTTGGCATTTGTAATCTGGGAATCTAAGCTAACATGAGGACGATTCAACGCTGCGGCACGGGGATCGTTTCACTTTCGAGGGACGTCAATTTGACCAGAGGATTCCCCTGAAATCCAAACTGGTGGCACATAACGTAAAACACAAAGGCTGATCGATTCGTAGCTGTGCTGATGCTAACGTTGTCAAAGAGAGCGTGGCCCCTTTGGCTCATGGGAAGGGAAGTCACTGCAACAAGACCCAGCCGAGCCAAGCCAAAATGGCGTCATAACCACCGTGACTGTATATAAAAAGTAGATGTGAACTTCTGCCATATTGTCCGCATTATTCTGGAAAGAACCGGATCCTGAAATAATTAACATCGAGCTGAACCAAAGACAACGTCAGACTCGTGATTTGGACTCCGAAATCGTTCAGAAAATGTCGACCGAGACTTAAATTAAAGAAAAAGTTTGGTCACATCTGCATAAAGTTACACAAAGATGCGGTTAATTTGTGAGCGTTAGAGTCGCCCCCTGCTGGCTGTTTGCAACAATGCAGGTTTACGACGCCTCAGCAGATCAAACCTTGAAGCCACATCCACTTCTTATATACAGTCCTGAATGAATACAGAGTTTTTTCTGAAATCTAACGTCTCTTTGTTGTTCAGCAGACTTCATAGCTTTCCTGATAAATATTATCTTTTTTATAAATGATGAATTTCCAAAGACTTTAGTTATCGAAGCTTAAAGGACTACTTTAGCTACTTTGTTTACAAATAACCTTCAGACAGTTTACTTCAAAGTTTTAACCGGAGACGTCCCTCATCGATGGGAAGACCAGACAGCCAGTGTTACCACCAAAGAAATATTTGATGCACTGTACTTTATTTTTTTTAGATATTTTGTAGCTCTAACATTTTTCATCCTTAAAGTTTTGTGTTGTTGCTTTTTTCATCCGTCTTGTTGATCTCACTTCTTGGCCGTTCTTTCTCTCAGTAGGATATTTAATTTAAACCCAATGATTTATTTATACCGTCACAGCACATAACAGTAAAAAAAAAAAAAATCAGATGATTAATTTTAAGAATGTAATTTATCATGTGTTGGTTGTTTCTTCACACTTTGTGCCTCTTTTCTTATTCTTTGTACAGTTTTTTGCCTTTTTTTTTTTGGTAAAAACTTTTTTGGAGAATGTTAAATTTCCAAAGTTAAAAAAAATTCAACTGTAACAACAATATTTTCATGCTGAAAAAAAAAAAGAATTTTAAGGGAAAAGAGAGCACATGTTTGTATAAATATTGGTGCTTTATTGAATAAAGTTTTCTCTTTTGGTAAACTTCTTTTTGTTTCTCATTTGTTGCATGCATTATAAATCTGATTTTTGACTTAAAACTCGTTATTCAGATTTTTATTTTAGAATTCTAAAGTTTAGAGACTAAGAATCTCTGAAAACCTTTTCAAAATATTTGAGTCCAGAAAAAAACAAACAACATAGTATACTATGATCAAAATTTCACATTTGGGTATAGGATGTTAAAAATGTCATGTTTTTGAAGGAAAAAATTTTTTAAATTTTCGTCTGAAAAAAAAAACGACATAGTATGACCAAAATTACAGATTTAAGAGTGAAATTTTTGTTTGGATTTTTGGATGAAAAACCATGCCATAGTATAGTCTAATAAAAATGCCATGGTATAGGATGTTAAAAATGTCATATTTTTAAAGGAAAATTTTTTTTTTTATTTTCGCCTGAAAAAAAACGACATAGTATACTATGACCAAGATTGCAGATTTTAGGTTGAAAAAAAAAATCTGTTTTTAGGATTAAAAACCATGCCATAGTATAGTCTAATCAAAATGCCATGGTATAGGATGTTTAAAATGTCATATTGTTAAAGGAAAAAAAAAAATTATATTTTCGTCCGGAAAAAAAACGACATAGTATACTATGACCAAAATTACAGATTTTAGGTTGAAAAAAAAAACTGTTTTTAGGACTAAAAAACATGCCACAGTTTAGTCTGATTAAAATGCCATAGTAAAGGATGTTAAAAATGTCATATTTTTGCAGGAAAAAACAAAATTATATTTTAGTCTGGAAAAAAAACGACATAGTATACTATGACCAAAATTACAGATTTAAGGGTGAAATTTTTGTTTAGATTTTTGGATGAAAAAACATGCCATAGTATAGTGTCATCAAAATGCCATGGTATAGGATGTTAAAAATGTCATATTTTTAAAAGGAAAAAATTTTTTTTTATTTTCGCCTGAAAAAAAACGACATAGTATACTATGACCAAGATTGCAGATTTTAGGTTGAAAAAAAAAAATCTGTTTTTAGGATTAAAAACCATGCCAGAGTATAGTCTAATCAAAATGCCATGGTATAGGATGTTTAAAATGTCATATTGTTAAAGGAAAAAAAAAAATTATATTTTCGTCCGGAAAAAAAACGACATAGTATACTATGACCAAAATTACAGATTTTAGGTTGAAAAAAAAAACTGTTTCTAGGACTAAAAAACATGCCACAGTTTAGTCTGATTAAAATGCCATAGTAAAGGATGTTAAAAATGTCATATTTTTGCAGGAAAAAACAAAATTATATTTTAGTCTGGAAAAAAAAACGACATAGTATACTATGACCAAAATTACAGATTTAAGAGTGAAATTTTTGTTTAGATTTTTGGATGAAAAAACATGCCATAGTGTAGTGTGATCAAAATGCCATGGTATAGGATGTTAAAAATGTCATATTTTTAAAGAAAAAAAAGTTTAAATTTTTCGTCTGGAAAAAAAATGACATAGTATACTATGACCAAAATGACAAATTTTAGGTTGAAAAAAAAAACTGTTTTTAGGACGAAAAAACATGCAGTAGTAAAGTCTGATTACAATGCAGTATTTAGGATGTTAAAAATGTCATGTTTTTGAAGGAAAAAACAAAATTATATTTTAGTCTGGAAAAAAACCGACATAGTATACTATGACCAAAATTACAGATTTAAGGGTGAAATTTTTGTTTAGATTTTTGGATGAAAAAACATGCCATAGTATAGTGTCATCAAAATGCCATGGTATAGGATGTTAAAAATGTCATATTTTTAAAGGAAAAATTTTTTTTTTATTTTCGCCTGAAAAAAAACGACATAGTATACTATGACCAAAATTACAGATTTTAGGTTGAAAAAAAAAATCTGTTTTTAGGACTAAAAAACATCCCACAGTTTAGTCTGATTAAAATGCCATAGTAAAGGATGTTAAAAATGTCATATTTTTGCAGGAAAAAACAAAATTATATTTTAGTCTGGAAAAAAAACGACATAGTATACTATGACCAAAATTACAGATTTAAGGGTGAAATTTTTGTTTAGATTTTTGGATGAAAAAACATGCCATAGTATAGTGTCATAAAAATGCCATGGTATAGGATGTTAAAAATGTCATATTTTTAAAGGAAAATTTTTTTTTTTTATTTTCGCCTGAAAAAAAACGACATAGTATACTATGACCAAAATTGCAGATTTTAGGTTGAAAAAAAAAATCTGTTTTTAGGATTAAAAACCATGCCATAGTATAGTCTAATCAAAATGCCATGGTATAGGATGTTTAAAATGTCATATTGTTAAAGGAAAAAAAAAATTATATTTTCGTCTGAAAAAAAACGACATAGTATACTATGACCAAAATTACAGATTTTAGGTTGAAAAAAAAAATCTGTTTTTAGGACTAAAAAACATGCCACAGTTTAGTCTGATTAAAATGCCATAGTAAAGGATGTTAAAAATGTCATATTTTTGAAGGAAAAAACAAAATTATATTTTAGTCTGGAAAAAAAAACGACATAGTATACTATGACCACAATTACAGATTTAAGGGTGAAATTTTTGTTTAGATTTTTGGATGAAAAAACATGCCATAGTATAGTGTCATCAAAATGCCATGGTATAGGATGTTAAAAATGTCATATTTTTAAAGGAAAAATTTTTTTTTTATTTTCGCCTGAAAAAAAAACGACATAGTATACTATGACCAAGATTGCAGATTTTAGGTTGAAAAAAAAAATCTGTTTTTAGGATTAAAAACCATGCCATAGTATAGTCTAATCAAAATGCCATGGTATAGGATGTTTAAAATGTCATATTGTTAAAGGAAAAAAAAAAATTATATTTTCGTCCGGAAAAAAAACGACATAGTATACTATGACCAAAATTACAGATTTTAGGTTGAAAAAAAAAACTGTTTCTAGGACTAAAAAACATGCCACAGTTTAGTCTGATTAAAATGCCATAGTAAAGGATGTTAAAAATGTCATATTTTTGCAGGAAAAAACAAAATTATATTTTAGTCTGGAAAAAAAAACGACATAGTATACTATGACCAAAATTACAGATTTAAGAGTGAAATTTTTGTTTAGATTTTTGGATGAAAAAACATGCCATAGTGTAGTGTGATCAAAATGCCATGGTATAGGATGTTAAAAATGTCATATTTTCAAAAAGAAAAAGTTTAGATTTTTCGTCTGGAAAAAAAATGACATAGTATACTATGACCAAAATGACAAATTTTAGGTTGAAAAAAAAAATCTGTTTTTAGGATTAAAAACCATGCCATAGTATAGTCTAATCAAAATGCCATGGTATAGGATGTTTAAAATGTCATATTGTTAAAGGAAAAAAAAAATTATATTTTCGTCTGGAAAAAAAACGACATAGTATACTATGACCAAAATTACAGATTTTAGGTTGAAAAAAAAAACTGTTTTTAGGACTAAAAAACATGCCACAGTTTAGTCTGATTAAAATGCCATAGTAAAGGATGTTAAAAATGTCATATTTTTGAAGGAAAAAACAAAATTATATTTTAGTCTGGAAAAAAAACGACATAGTATACTATGACCAAAATTACAGATTTTAGGTTGAAAAAAAAAAATCTGTTTTTAGGATGAAAAACCATGCCATAGTACAGTCTTATCAAAATGCCATGGTATAGGATGTTAAAAATGTCATATTTTTAAAGAAAAAAAAAATTAAAATTTTTGTCTGAAAAAAAAAACGACATAGTATACTATGACCAAAATTACAGATTTTAGGTTGAAAAAAATATCTGTTTTTAGGACTTAAAACCATGCCATAGTTTAGTCTGATTAAAATGACATGGTAAAGGATGTTAAAAATGTCATATTTTTGCAGGAAAAAACAAAATTATATTTTAGTCGGAAAAAAAACGACATAGTATACTATGACCAAAATTACAGATTTTAGGTTGAAAAAAAAATCTGTTTTTAGGACTAAAAAACATGCAACAGTTTAGTCTGATTAAAATGCCATAGTAAAGGATGTTAAAAATGTCATAGTTTTGCAGGAAAAAACAAAATCATATTTTAGTCTGGAAAAAAAAACGACATAGTATAATATGACCAAAATTACAGATTATAGGTTGAAAAAGAAAAATGTTTTTAGGACTAAAAAACATGCCACAGTTTAGTCTGATTAAAATGCCATAGTAAAGGATGTTAAAAATGTCATATTTTTGCAGGAAAAAACAAAATTATATTTTAGTCTGGAAAAAAAACGACATAGTATACTATGACCAAAATTACAGATTTTAGGTTGAAAAAAAAATCTGTTTTTAGGACTAAAAAACATGCAACAGTTTAGTCTGATTAAAATGCCATAGTAAAGGATGTTAAAAATGTCATAGTTTTGCAGGAAAAAACAAAATCATATTTTAGTCTGGAAAAAAAAACGACATAGTATACTATGACCAAAATTACAGATTTTAGGTTGAAAAAAAAAACTGTTTTTAGGACTAAAAAACATGCCACAGTTTAGTCTGATTAAAATGCCATAGTAAAGGATGTTAAAAATGTCATATTTTTGCAGGAAAAAACAAAATTATATTTTAGTCTGGAAAAAAAAACGACATAGTATACTATGACCAAAATTACAGATTTTAGGTTGAAAAAAAAAAATCTGTTTTTAGGACTAAAAAACATGCAACAGTTTAGTCTGATTAAAATGCCATAGTAAAGGATGTTAAAAATGTCATATTTTTGCAGGAAAAAACAAAATCATATTTTAGTCTGGAAAAAAAACGACATAGTATACTATGACCAAAATTGCAGATTTTAGGGTGAAAAAAAAAATTTGTTTTTAGGATGAAAAACCATGCCATAGTACAGTCTAATCAAAATGCTATGGTATAGGATGTTAAAAATGTCATATTTTTAAAGAAAAAAAAAATTAAAATTTTTGTCTGAAAAAAAAACGACATAGTATACTATGACCAAAATTACAGATTTAAGAGTGAAATTTTTGTTTAGATTTTTGG